TTTCCGGTTGTTGTGGCTGATGAGAAACAGGTTTTGATTACCAAGAAGTGTGAGCAGGTGGAATGATCTTTCAAAGACCATCAGTTCACTGTAGATTTTTTGGTTCTACCAGGATCAACTTATGGTGCAATACTTGGAATGCAGTGGTTTAAGACCCTGGGTGAGATATATTGGAATTGTGCAAAATTAACTATGAGGTCTCAACACAAGGGACAGCTGGTGGAATTGGAAGGAGAGCAACCATCCTCGATGATAACTGAATTAGAAGGTAAATTAAAGGCTATCAGTTGTCAGACAATGTTGATACCTTGGACTGCACCAAATTGCTTCTCTATGATAGGAGGGGAAGATGTATCTGGTTTGAATGATAGCCAAACTCAGGACTTACAAAAGTTGTTGGATGAGCATCAACAATTGTTTGTAACACCTACCACACTACCTCCAAAGAGAAGATATGATCATCAAATCGTCCTTACTAATGACGAACCTTTCTGTTTAAAACCTTATAGATACCCTGAAGTGCAAAAATCAGAAATTGAAAGCCAGATTCAAGATATGTTGTCTACTGGGTTTATCCGGTAAAGTAGTAGCGCATATACTTCTCCAATGGTGTTAATCAAGAAAAATGACGGCACTTGGAGATTTTGTACCGACTTTAGAAGATTGAACCACTAACAGTAAAGAACAAGTTTCTCATACCTTTAATTGAGGATCTTTTGGATTAACTTAATGGTGCAAAATACTTCACCAAACTGGATTTGAGGAGCAGTTACAACCAAGTAAGGATGGTTGAGGCTGATATACATAAGACAGCGTTTCGAACACATTCAGGGCATTACGAATGGGTTGTTATTCCTTTTGGCCAAAGCAATGCACCAGCAACCTTCCAAAATTTGATGAATGACATATTCAAAGAATATTTGAGGAAATTTATTTTGGTCTTCTTTGATGATATTTTAGTATACACAGAAGAAACATGGGAAGCTCATCTAAATTGCCTAAAGACCACTTTCAGTTACTACAACAACATTCTTTAGCTTTGAATTTCAAGAAGTGCAGCTTTGGGAAGACAAGGGTAGACTGTCTGGGACATGTGATATCTGCAAAAGGTGTTGAGCCTGACCCACAGAAGTTAGAAGCAATCAAGAATTGGCCTAGGCCAAAGTCAGTACAAGAACTGAGAGGTTTTTTGGGGCTTTCAGGCTACTATAGACGATTTATTGCCAATTATGGCATAATAGCATTGTCTCTAACTTATCTACTACAAAAAGAAGCCATATTTCAGTGGGATGAAGGGACAGAAGCATCATTTCAGAAATTGAAGAAGGCACTCACATCCGCACCTGTTCTGGCACTTCTGGATTTTTCATTACCTTTCATTATAGAGACAGATGCATCTGGTCAAGGCATTGGTGCTGTTCTTTTGCAGAAAAACCATCCTATTGCTTATGTCAGTAAAACCATGGGAAAGAAATTTCAGCTAATGTCAGCATACGAAAAAGAGTTCTATGCCATCCTGTTTGTTGTAAAGAAGTGGCAACACTATTTCCTGGGGCATCATTTCACCATCAGAACAGATCAACAAGCTTTGAAACATCTTCTACAACAGCCACCAACTACAATGATGCAGAATTGGGGATTAGAAAAACTAATGGGCTGGGATTTCCACATTGAGTATAAAAAGGGTAAAGAGAATGTGGTGGCAGATTGTTTGCCAAGAAAAGTAGAAGGAGGAAGATGAGCAGCAGTGTTTCAAGTAGCATCATTGTTAATTGATGAAGTCAAACAAACATGAACACAAGACATGAAACTTCAAAAGATCATTGATAGAATCCAACTTTTACAAAAGCCTTATAAACATTATACATGGGATGGAGAATTGTTGAAGCGAAAAGGGAAGCTGGTTGTAGGCATAGTTGATCAAGTCAAAAGTAAGATTCTGAATTATTTCCATAACTCTGTGGTGGGTGATCATTCGGGCATGAACCAGACATATAAGCGAGTCAAGGAATATTTTTACTGGAAGGGTTTCCAGAAGGCTGTGAAGCAATGGGTACACGAATGTTCTACATGTCAAAGATTCAAGTCTATTCTTCAACCACCAGTAGGCTTGTTACAACCCTTGCCAATTCCTGAGAAAGCGTGGCAATCCATCACAATGGATTTCATCTGTGGCTTGCCTAAATCACAAGGTTTTACTGTTATATTGGTGGTTGTGGATCGATTCACAAAATATGATCATTTCATTGCATTAGGTCACCCATATGGCGCAGCAAATGTAGCTCAACTTTTCATGAGTACAGTGGTGAAGTTGCATGGTTGGCCAGTTCAAATAGTCTCTGATAGAGATTCAATCTTTCTCAGTAATTTTTGGACAGAATTATTTAAGCAACATGGTGTGCAGCTGCTGAGATCAACCGCTTTTCACCCTCAAACAGATGGTCAAAGTGAAGCATTGAATAAGTCCTTGGAAGCCTACTTAAGATGTACTACAACTGACAGGCCGAAGGATTGGTGTACTTACTTGCCCCTTGCTAAGCTTTGGTACAATACCACATTTCAAACTTCAGCTGGGATGACACCATTTGAAGCATTATATGGTTATCCACCACCAAGTTCTAGCTATGTTGTGTCATCTGATTCTTTGGTCGAAGCCGTGGATTACACCATCAAGTCAAGGGAAGAAATAAAATCCATACTAAAAACAAATCTGGTCAAAGTGCAACAACGGATGAAGTTCTACGCTAAAAGGATTGACAAAGTATTTCAGGCAGGTGACTTTGTCTATCTAAAAATCCAGCCATATAAACAACCCTGATTATCAAATTCAGCTTTCCACAAGCTTTCAGCTATATACTATGGCCCCTATAAGGATTTGGAACCCATAGGTCAAGTAGCTTATAGATTGGAATTACCAACTGAAAGTAAATTGCATGATGTGTTCCACGTTTCTTTGTTAAAACGGCATCAGGGCAATCATATAGTATGTCAGCACTTACCTGAGTACAATAAGGATGGGAAGCTTACGATCAAACTAATAGCAATTCTAGACAGAAGAATGACACAGAAGGGCAATCAGGCAGTAACAGAAGTCTTAGTACAATGGGAACACACAAGTCCTGAAAATGCAGTTTGGCAGGAACTACACTCTCTTAAAAGCGAATTTCTGGACTTCCAGTGGAATGCACCTTCACATGGCCTCGTGGTCTAGGCCATCTTTTAAGGGGGAGAAAGTTGTTATATATCTTTTAGATGATGAGCTGCAATTAGTTCTTTTGTTATATTGTTAGAAAATAAAGATAGACTTGGTTGTCTAGGAATAAGGGTATAAATAAGACCCTAGTGTAATAAAAAAGGATTATCAGAATACAATCATATTCTTACGTTCTTCTTCTATTCTTGTGTGAGATTTGTGAGTAGTGTGTTGAAGGTGTGAGTTTCCATCTTTTACTGGCTTTCTTTTAATAAACAATTAAGAGGGCTATCACAATTAGATCGTATCAGAGTAGGTCATCCTACCAAACTTAGGGTATGAACCTGATTCTGTGTGCATGGTGTGTTCTTGCATAAATTGTAATTCTATAGTGATGTGAGATTGGTTTGAAGCCAAGTTTGCTCTTCTATGTTCTTACATTAATAGTGTTCTACTAGCAATGTGGGATTGAATTGTGTGATGACACACCATAGTGAAATGCAGCATGGGTTGACATGGTTAGCAATACTATGATTTATTAGGAAACATTAGATAATAAAGGAACATGGTACAGTAAATACCCTTTAAGGACTTAATTGTCGTGACTCTTTCTCCAACAGGTCATGGCAAGAAAACCAAACATCAGAACCCAACATTTATTTAAGCATATGACTCATGTCCTGGAAACTGTGGTGCAAGTTCGGCCTAATATAGTAGACTATCTTCATTTAGGAAGAACAATCCACCAAAGTTTGGAGGAAGATTTGACCCAGAAGGAGCGTTGAAGACATGAGAAAACACAAGAGATAGTGTTGGAAGTGAGAGCAACTCGTGAAAGCCTCAAATAACTGGCAAGGTGTTTACGACGAAAGGGACGGAGGCTGCAACCTCTGATGACCCAATCCAAGGTAAATGCGTCATCAAAAGAAAACAGCTGTGTTGTTTGATTTGGGTGCTACTCATTCTTTCATATTGCTGATTGTGAAAAAGTAGTGTCTCTCCAGCTCATAACCCAGTGCCTCTCCAGCTCATAACCCAGTGCTTCATGCTTGAGCTAAATACATGGAATTTGATCTATTCTTTGTTAGCAAAAAAGTGCCATGCAAACAACTAACAGTGAAACTTCTAGGAGTACGATGCTCAGTTGTAAAAGGAGAAACCCTTGGAGCAACAAAGAGTGTTTATCTTATAATTATTTTTTTCGTCCTATTGAATAAAATCTGTTTTTTTAATTCTCATTCCCAATTCTTGGTTCCAACAAATTGGTGGGATCTGCCAAATCCTCAACCGAGACCCAGTGTTAGAGATGGAAGAAGCACATAGTATGGCCAAGCACAAAGTCTGAGTTACAAGAAATTCATTCACTCCATGAGCAACAATATGCATTCATGAGCGTAGACAGTGTGACAATGTTTTGGTTCTATTATCGAGGCTACGAGAGCCCAGATTCAAATTGGGAATCATTTTCCACAGATTTGATCCAAAGATTTGGAAAAAGCTATGGTAGCCACATCTTTGAAAGATTAACTACCTTGAAGCAAGAAGAACAATGAGATGCAAAACTTGTATCAAAGAAAAGGAGACTTCCACAGTGTTCTTGGAAGAGAGAACCAACATTTCATGAAGGCACAATAGTCCTTAGGGAGGCCAGGCCTTCAGATTCTTTGTCATAATGTAGCTAACTAATTTCAGTAATAATAATCAGAGTTTTTCTTTTCATTCATTTTCTATCAATTTTTTTTTGTGTTCACAAGAAAGGGTTATATCTTTTCGATTCAGTATGCCACATTACATTGCAAAATGAGATCTATAGAGAGAAACACCTAACTGGACGGCCTTGTTTTATGATTCCTGCCTTTGCCATTGCAATTGTTTCCAAAGAACCCCCAAGAGCTGCCAAATGTTCTTCACCTACAGTAGTTATGACTGCTGCAGCAAGTTGGGAGCTGGATATGATATTTGTTGCATCTCGTGCACCCCCCAACCCAGCCTGTAGAATTTAATTATAAAAAAAGGGCATAATTTAGGTTTTTCAGATTTAATTGTAAAAAGAAAAAGCTAATATTATCAAGCACCACTCCCACCAAGCCCTACCTAAAAGTGATCATAAACTCAAGATTCTTCTTAATGTGGAGAGGTAACAGCAATTTAAGCAGAAGAATCACCCCATAGCATATTGGTATAAAGCTATTGCAGGATGTAGGGAAATAGATACTTAACCTCAATAACAGCAATGTCAACATTCTCATCGGCAAATAGGATAAATGCCATTGTAGTGAAAACCTGAGACATATTCACAAGTGATTTAAGTTATTAAATACAGAAGTTGGCAATGTGCATGATTTCTTCTAGCATAAATTCTCATATAAATACGCAAACAAAACGTATTTCACCTGCATTTCAATATAATGCTAATTTTGAACCATCTAACCAAAAATATCCAAATAATAAAACATTAATTCAGAAATGTTATAACATACAAATTCAGACCAATAAGAAAGAAACACAAGAGTCTCAAAAAGAACAACTGCTAACTCCCAGACACACACAATTGGACCCACGGAATCCCATCAACATAACTCCTTAAGTTACCCACAGAAATTTATTTACAACATTCAACCATTGACAATGTTCAACATTCAATACCTCAAAATGGCTTATGCAACCATTTTCCTCTTGCATTGCCTGGTCAAGTTCTGCCTTCATCCTATGAAAGAGATCATTCAGCAACTTTGCCGACACTGGATTGCCAGATCTTCCTAGTAAAATACGCTCCCTGATAGTCAGGATATGTGGACTGCTTGAGAAAAATAAAGCCTGTCATCAATAATGTACAAAATTGTAAAGAAGATAATGTTGAAGATGAAATCACAAGCAGCCTAAGGTTATATTAAAAAATGTAAAACATTTTTATGATAAAGAAACTTCACCTAGTGTAACAACCAACAGAATAACCTTCCGTCCTGAGAATATTAGATATATATGCAGCTGTAGATCCCTTTCCCTTAGTCCCAGCAATATGAACAGCCTACAATAGGAGTAAGCACTTCCATCAACTGCATAAAATTAACTGAAAGAACAAAAATGTCCCTAAAGCCCAAACAGACATAAAATGCCTATTTTAATTGGTTACTTCAAAATATAGGTATAAAATTAATGGAAACTTTAAAATAATTTTTAGAAGGGTAAAGCATCATTGTAAGTTTCAGAAAGTGTATAACGTTGTTCCATTAGTCTCTCAAAATAAGAAAAATAAAAAGTTATCCCGCAAGTGCAATCTGTCAATCATCTTGATCCAAAAATTCAAATTAAAATGGTAATATTAACCCATGTTTAAGAACTAGAGTGCAAGAAAGTAGTTATGTTAAGGACTTAAATGACATCTAGCAACTTATTTTGAATTTCCTTAATTTCAGGAATTAATACGACAGCACTTTATCATTTCAGAGAACAAGATGGTACTCTTTTAAAAAGAATGAGTGAAAAGAGAGAAGGAGGGGAATGAAACCTTGAACTTGGTGTGAGGATTACCGAAACGCTCCATGAGTCGTCTCATTCTACCAAGATCGAAACCCTCATCGGACTCGGTGCCGGCACCTCTCGGAACTCCTGATTTCTCGTAATTTTTTAGGGAATCCAGGTAACCTAAAAAGTCTTTCATTTCGAGGTTTGAAGAGAAGGTTCGTATGTGACCCACTCTCCTTGCGAATTCTCTGCGTATTGAGGATAGAGGCATGTTGCGTGACCTATGTTCATTGGCAGCATGTGCATCACACGAAGCTCGTTGAATGAGCATAATAATGGTTGCAAACAATTATAAGGGGAAATGAGTGTAATTCAGAGTTCAGTGGAAATGTAAAGAAGTTAGTTTTCAGTACCTATTCCAAACTGTTGAAGAGGAACGTCGGAAGGAATGATGCGCAGTGGCAAACAGTTGCTGCCGGCGATGGGGTTTGCTCGCAAGGCTGCAGTGCGGCAGCGACAGCGACAGCCTGGTAAAGTATGCCGTGTTTTCAACACATGCTTTACTATTATTTGCAAACTACAAAATGAAATAAATAAAGATAAATATTTTTTTCTAATTGCACTCACATTCAAACTTTTGTAAAAAATTACATTACTATTCTATTTTGAGTACTCTGCTTTGAAATTTCATCTTTCTTAGAATTGACAAGTTGTTAAGTTTTAAGAAGTCTTTATATTCATTTTGTAGGTCATATTTAACATATGCATATTTGTTATTTCATGTTTATCACATGCAATTTGAAATTTTGTTAGAGGATAAAATTGTTTATATAAAAGATTAATTAAATAGAAAAATAATAGATTAGTTGAAATATTTGATGATAAAGATATCTTATGCACATAATATTACTATTCTAATATTTATTATTTTGATTTTATGGAGTTAATGTTTAGATTTTAGAAAGTGTATTTTGAATCTTTAAATATTTAGTTGTATTATTCTGTTTACACATCATAGGAATTAATGACATTTAGTTTCAAAAAACTGTCTGTGAAGTTTTAGTTCATCCTAGTTGGGTCAGGCTATGACAAATAAACTAAGTGTTCTTCATAGGAACTTGGAATTGGTCCCATTACTGTCTAAGAAATATGTTGTTGGTTGCAGGTAGATATTTGTTATCAAAGTTAGACTTGATGGTACTATTGATCGTCTCAAAGCTCGTCTTGTGGTCAAAGGTTATACTCAAAATTTTTGATTGAATTATGAAGATACATTTTCTCCCGTGGCAAATATGGTTTTTGTTCGTTTATTTATCGTCATGGTTGCTCTTCAACAATGACCTCTTTATCAACTAGATGTTCAAAATGTTTTTCCCAATGGTGACTTGCAAGAAAAAATCTATATGGAGCAACCTCCTGGGTTTGTTGCTCAAGGGGAGTCTTCTGAGATGGTATATCGTCTTTGCAAATTCCTATGTGGTCTAAAATAGTCTCCTAGGACCTGGTTTGGAAAGTTTAGTAAGGTTTTCAACAATTTGGTATGAATCAGTGTGAAGCAAATCATTCTGTCTTTTATCGACACTCGAGTGCAGGATGTGTTTACTTGATAGTATATGTTGATGACATTGTTCTTACAGGTAGTGACAATCATGACATCTTTCAGTTGAAACAACATCTCTGCCACCATCTTCAAACCAAAGATTTTGGCAAACTCAGATATTTATTGGGTATTGAGGTGACACAGTCCAATGATGATATTGTTATATCTCAGAGGAAATATGCCATAGATATTTTGGAGGAAACTAGGTTGATGAGTTTAAAGTCTGATGATACACCCATGGATCCCAATACTAAACTTCTACCAAATCAAGGAGAGTCTATATCTGATCCTAAGTAATATAGAATATTGGTTAGGAAATTGAATTATCTTACAGTTATTCGTCCTAACATTTCCTTTGCAGTCAGTGTAGTAAGTCAATTTCTTAATTCCCCATGTGAAAATCATTGGAATGTAATCATTTGTATCTTGAAGTATATTAAAGGATCTCCTAGAAAAAAATTATTATATGGTTCTAATAATCATACAAGAGTTGTTTGTAACTCAGATGCTGATTGGATAGGATCTCTTTCTGATAAAAGATCTACATCTGGATATTGTGTCTTCATTGGTGGTAACTTGATCTTGTGGAAAAGTAAGAAACAGAGAGTTGTGGTAAGATCCAGTGCAGAAACAGAATATGGAGTTATGGTCTCAACTGTCTGTGAACTTGTTTTGCTCAAGCAATTGCTTAGAGAGTTACAATTTGAAGATGTCACTCAAATGACACTTGTGTGTGACAATCAAGTTGTTCTTCATATTATCTTTAATCTTGTCTTTCATGAGAGGACCAAACACATTGAGATTGACTGTCATTTCATTCGAGAAAAGATTATGTCTGAAGACATTAAGACTGAGTTTGTTAACTCAAGTGATTAATTAGCAGATATTTTTACTAAGTCTTTACAGAGACCTAAAATTGATTATATTTGTAACATACTTGACATATATGATTTGTATGCTCCAGACTTGAAAGGAAGTATTAGATATTGTTTAGATATTATTAGATATTATTAACCACAATATCAACACAATATCTTTTATTTACTCTATTTATTTTCAATTACTCTTTTTTGTTGTAATCTCTATATTATAAATAAATTACCCTATTTGTAGTTTATACATAAGTGAGATTAATCGCAAACCCTATTTTTTCTATATTCAATAATGATTAACCTGTTTACTGATTTATATTTTTTAGAAAGATATTCAAAGGTTACTTGCTTCCTGAGAGCGTAATTTAGAACAGAAACGACTGCTATATGTAAATAAACCAAGTGATGCTTGTACAAGGAATACAAAATTAAACTTATGATGAGCTATTAATGTATACTAACACTCCAATAACAGTTTGTAGTCACCTAGATGGAAGAATTTCTTGTGAAACAAAAGTTGTCTAAGCTGTTTCCCTCTCAGCTGCAATAAACTGTTCCTTCTGAAATTCTTTCAACACAAACTGAAAATCTTTTGCAAGCTTAGCGCGAACTATCTTCTTATTTGCCTTCAGATACAAGCAAGATATTGACCGTCACTTTTTTTCCTCAGGGGAACAAAATTGGAGATCATGCCACCAACAATTTAGCACATAAACTATAAGAAACAAACATCCATTCAAAATGAATTCAAAACCACTTTAGCCTGAAAGTGTTTTTGCGAAACTACTGTGTTGTTCATGGTAGTCAACTTCAAATAGTTTTCTCTCCAAAGACAATGGCAAAGTATAGTCCACAATGATTATTTATTCTTATCATGTACTCTATTGTGGTACGCAGATTAGTCAGCTTGGAGTAGTTGCTCTAAAACATCAGGCATTTACTCAAAATGCAACACCCAATTTATCAGTCTCAGTTAAAAAATTGCAATGTTAGAGTCCATTTTACTTTATTTTTTCAGCTTATGTCTGAGTTCCAACTTCCAGTCTTTTATTAATGATATAATTATGAAATTAATGATATACATGCAAAAACGTTGCTGCTTTTAAAGCTTGTACCTTAGTTGTTTATAATGTGGTACCTGTTGCTTCTTGGTTTCTTGAATTGTTTCCCAATCTTTTATATGGATCTCATACAGAATGTGTTCATAGTGATTTCTAATAAAATCTTCTTTTTTTTTTTTTATCAAATAATAAAAGAACAAATGTCTTGGCTTATTTAAATGTCTACCTATCCTTATTTATAGGTCAATGTAATGGGAGATGGTACAACATTTATCTTATCCATGTCCATAACAAATATCTATGGCTAACGTTTTTCATCTGTGCTTCCCTGCCATTACATATGTCCTAGACTGAAAAGTTTAGAAATTGCTGCCATTTTGATTACGTCTAAAATTACAGCTATGTATAGCATTAAAGAAGAAACTCAGGAACAATAAGCTGTAGCAACCATTGGTGTGAGAGTATTGTTTATTGCCCTATTGTACAGTTGGTTCGTAAAGTTGTCAGTAACTTTTGTCAGTGTCAGATACATTTCTAAACTGATCTGTTCTATCAGATTGTGATAAGAGAAATCATATCAATAACAGAAAATTCAATCACTCGTTTTCAGGCTCTAGAATACTTTTAATTGTTAAGGTTCAAAGTGGTAGGTTGGTATATAAATCCTAACCAATTCATCTCTACACGGAGCATTATGAAAAAGTGAACTATGGTGCTGCAACATTACATCTTGACAAGACAATCATATCCCACATTGAGGGGCAGACTTACCTACTCCAAACTCTTTATAACGTGATAACAACAAGTGAAATTTTATAATTAACCATTCGTAATTTCATACACGGGCGGGGGAGGTACGCAAGCTCGTAAAAATTACCCGAAATTAGAGACATTCATAAGGTGGAGATAGAGAACACAGATGATATCGAGGAAGACCTGTGTGAGAATCGGAGCATTTACTGCAACAAATGAAAGGGAGAACAACTAGAGGGTGAACTAATAGAATAAGTGACATGACACTAAAGAAGTGAGAAATTACCGGAGATGGCATCAGAGAATGTTTCAGAAACACAAGGTAGAACTACGAAACAGATACTAGGGTTTTTTTTTTCCTTAACATTATTTTATCATAAATTTTCATATATAACATATTTTATGTAATATTTACATTATTAGAATATTTTTATAAAAAGTTAAACATTAAAAAAAATACAATTTTCTTATCGAATTTTTAGGAGGTCAAATTCCAACCTCAATAATTAATATAATTTTAAAAATAAAATAATATTTATTAAATATAAATATATATATTTTATATAAAAAATATATATAAATATTATATATATAATATTCTTTTAAAAAAATTATTTATATAATTATATTATTAATATATTTTTATAAATATAGTAAAAACAAATATATTTAATATATATATAATATTTAAATATTTATTTATATTTTTATAAATATAATAAAATTTAATAAATATATATTTATATCTTTCTATATAACATTTCTACATAAATAAATTATATATATTATTTAAATATATTTTTAATATAAAATAATTTTAATAAGTAAAAATAATATTTTTTTATAGAAATATATAAATATTTTTATTATATTTTAAAATATTTTTACTATATTTATAAAAATATATTAATAATATAATTATATAAATATATAAATATATTTTTATGCTATTTAAAAAAATATATTTATATTTATTTCATATAATTATATAAATAAATTTAAATATATATATATATATATATATTTATATATTTATTTTATATAAAATATATATATTTATATTTAATTATTATATTTAATAAATATTATTTTATTTTAAAAATTATATTAATTAGTGAGGTCGAATTCGGTCTCCTGGAAACCGAATTTTAATAGTGTATGTAAAAATGGTACTAGTTAGGTAAATATTGATAGAATTATGTTATTTCTGAATTATAAATTTAATAGCATGCTAGTCATGTAAATATTGATAGAATGATGTTATTTCTGAATTATAAATTTAATAACATGTTACTAAAGAAAAAAAATCACACTAGGGCACAAAGAAAGAAGAGAATTGCAGAAAAATAAATATATAAGGGTGGATAAGTTTACGAATTTACCCCAGGACCGCCACTAAACCTATACCCTCGCTTTCTATGGGAGAGGAGATATGAGAATGTGAAAAAAAAAAAGTGAAGATTAAAAATAATAAAAGATAAGGTAGTTTGATAACAATAATGGGAAAACTACTCTGAAATCACTTGAATAAGAGGGAAAGAGAGATATGACGGAAACAGAAATAAATAAAAATATGTTATAACTCTTTATCTCTTTTGTAGATTAACGTGACTACTTAATTTATAAAGAACCTGAAAGCAGGCTAGCTTAAATGATGATTGTCCGAGATAAAGTCGGTTATAACAATAAAATGTTCAGAATAAGATTATGAGATGACTGAATCTGACAAAGTCGATTAGATATCTTCTCATAAGGTTACGCATGAACGAAAAAAAATGCAGGAAAGTAAAGACAAGTAAATAAACACACAAGTTCATGATAAGATTATGAGATGACCGAATCTGGCAGAGCCAGTTAGACATCTCCTCATAAGCTTATATGAACATAAAAGTTGTACAAAAATTTTTAAACCTTTAAATGATTATCGTATCTTTTAATAAATACTATTTAAGACATCCGATGACGCCCTTATAAGAAAACTACTCCATAAAAGGGAGTAAAGAAAACTTACTCAGGAAAGGGGGAGGAGAAGGAGAAGAGAAATACTAAATATACTTCTTTTATTGATGGAGAGAATTTACATGAGTAAGAGAGAAGGAGGAGAGTCTTGTGGGAAGGATTCTTGCCAAGCATAATGGACTTGGTCCTTATATATAAAACATAAATATTAAAATATTACATATTAAATGTTAAATGTGGGACTCACTTAAAGACGAGTCCTTGAAAACTTATAGGAGAAGTTTACGGAGGTTATCTTCTCCTTACTAAAAGACAAAATTGAAACAATAATTTTTTTTTATTTATATCAAAAGATTGGGTCAATCTTTTTGTCATTAACACGCAAGGCTTAATGAGCCTAACAACGTGTAACAGAAAAGGGACCATGACAAGGTAGTAAGATATCATTATCTATCATTAACCTTTGTCATCTTTTGATATTGTTGTATGAAGTAAGGACTTACGTCATTAGAAACTCCTCAAAATCTTCAAGAGCAAAATCGTCTTTGAATGACTAATAATGTAAAAGATTACGTCATTAGAAGTTCCTCGAAATCTACTATCCCTAACAATGAAAACATTCATATGATAAATCCCATAGGATGTGAAGAAGATACAGTGGATAGTGTATCTTTTGACGATATTATAAATGGATTTTTAGATAATTTTTATCCAAATGAAGAAGATGATTCATTGGATAATTTATCTAAAGTCACAGAACCTTTATCTGTATTAAGGTTAGTAGACATAAATGATGAATATACACTTGAATAATGTATCTTTAGGTTTAGAACCCTTGTCAGGGTTAGTCAACACAAATAGTGATGCATTAGATAATGTATCCATAGTTTCTTAACTCATACCAACAATAGGGTTAGAAAATACAAGTGTTGGAATAAATTATATCCAACATCACCACTATCATATGGAACATGATAGTATACAAGATATTTCTGTTGATATAAAATCAATAGAACTATCACAAGATGTTGTTCTTAGCAACAATCAAAATCTCACACTAGAAAATAGGCTTTTTTCAGAGCCAAGTCTCCAAAATCATAAACTTCTTCTAAACACAGGAGAAACATTAGACTATTTGGGTAATGATTTAATGAATATAAATGAAAAGAATCCATGTTCTCATGACGTGCAATTCTTTTCAGGATCATGATCGATTTCTTGTCAATACTATGAAAGATTCTTTCACATCTCTCAAAGAGCACATTGTTCCCTTTGTTACAAAACTTTTTGTTTAAATTATTTAAAAACAAAATCAGAAATACAAGATATACCTACTTTCTTAAAAAAAAGTATAAAAGACAACAAATTAATCGACACTAGGATTTCAGTCTTAGAAACCCGATTAAGCATACTTGAAGAAAAGATCCTTCACCTAGAAAAACTTGTTAAAAGAAAAGATATTAAAAAATGTCCAGTATCCACCTTTACACAAAACAATATGATGGGAACTATGGAATATATCTCATTAGTTTGTAACACAAAACAATTAATAACCTTAAAGGTATTAGTAAAATTAAACTTTCCACAAAAAGACAAAAATCATGCAAAAGAGACTATAGTTCAAGCTCTCTTAGATATAGGATGTTCTGAAACAGTTGTGTGCAGAACAAAAGTACCCACTTACATGATTACCAAAAGTAAACATGTACAAAAAATCAAGACGATGTCTGGACAAATCATGATAAATGATGAAGAGGTAAATAATATCTCTCTTCAATTTAGCACAAATTGTGACCTGTTTGGTCAGAAAATACACTTTAAAACTATGCGAGTGAAAAATTTAGTTCCCTCCAAACAAAGTATGATTATTGGTTTAGATTTTATTCTTGGTCATAATCGAACTATCACTATAAACAAAGATTATATTATCATTAGTAATAGAATACATATATCTCCCATAATCAGCAGTGACAATAAAATATACTTAGAACAACTTGTTGAATGTTCTTGTAAAAATTCCAAATCTTCTGATACATGTGATTGTATGAAGGAAGATTTAAAAAATATTGATTATTACATAAATGATATCATGGAAACTTTTTCTTCCATAAAGATATCAAAAATAATTACGTTTGACAATATCCAATAGATATTGGATAGGTTAAACAAAACAAGCATAATAGGAGAAGACCCCACAAAGTTTTAAGATCGAGACCCTATTATTTGTAAATTAAATATAATCAACCCTGATTTGATTATAAAAACAAAAGACATACATTTTAATAACTGGGAACAAGAAGAATGTCGATTGCATATCGACAATCTTTTGAAGCTGAAAGTAATAACTCCAAGTGAGAGTCCTCACAGGAATCCTGCTTTCATAGTTAATAAAGCTTCAGAACAAAAAAGAGGTAAATCAAGGATGATTTTTACAATTACAAAAGACTGAATGATAATACAGTCGAATATGGATATACTATTTCATCTAAAGATATTTTGATAAATCGCATACAGAATGCAAGATGGTTTTCAAAATTTGACTTAAAGAGTGGTTTCCATCAAGTTAAAATGGATCCCGACTCTGTAAAATGGACAACATTTTCCTGTTCAGAAGGATTATATGAATGACATGTGATGCCTCTCTGACGATGAGGAAATAAACTTTACAGATCGAATGATCAAAGAAGGACTTGAAGACATATCTTCTGTGTCAGTTTCCACAAGATGTTCTTGAAATTTCAAACTGCGGAACTGTACAAATCCCGCCTCACCACAACCAATGAGTCTTCCTATTTTTCAAAGAAAAATGGACAACATTTGTAAGGACTTAAAATCCTTTACTTGTGTCTATATAGACGATATACTAGTCTTTTCTAAGACCAAAGGAGAACATTTTCTTCATCTTAAACAAGTTTTATACAAATTAGAACACTATGGGTTAATAATGTCTAAAAATAAAATGGAAATCTATAAAAGTTTTATAGAATTCCTAGGAACAGAAATAGGGATTGGAACCATAAAACTCCAACCCCATATTTCTAAAAAAATTCAAGATTTTCCTGATAAAATGATGGATATTAAAACATTAAGATTATTTTCAGGACTCTTAAATTATACCTAAACTTTCATTCCAAATTTGGGTAAATATACATCTCTTTTATACAACAAAACTTCTATTAAAGGAGAAAGAAAATTTAATTCTGAAGACATAAGATTGGTTCAGAAAATAAAAGAAATGGTAAATAAACTACCAATTCTACATCTACCATTAGATTCTGATTATTTAATAATCGAATGTGATGAAAGTGAACTAGGATGAAGAGTCATCCTAAAACGAAGGAAAAACAAATATTTTTCTAAGATAGAAGAACAAATATGCAGGTATGTCTCTGACAAATATACTGCAAAACCACAGGTATATCAAACTAGCATTGACTATGAAGTCAATGCTATCATACATGCTCTAGATGCATTTAAATTATTTATGATAGATAAACCAGAAATAACCATCAGAACCGATTGCGAAACAATTGTTTCTTATGGGAAAAAATCATATTCATAAAGATAAAAAGTCACGCAGAAGGTGACTTTTATTCAAAGATTACATGAATTATGGCAAAATTATAAATTTTGAACATATTAAAGGATCTGATAATATGTTCGTTGACATCCTTAAAAGTAAGTCCCTCTTTGGTATCAGAGCTAGAATTCCTCGAGTACCTGAATATTTTTGCAATTGAACTGGTTTGTATTCGCTAGGATACCCAGCCAGTAATAGGGCAGGTTAAGGCCAGGGAGAGTCACGAAACCCTAAGTCCCGCGACGCTACCTTTGTGGGTTGAGGAATACTTTGCATATTACGGCATTATTCGCAAAAATATTTTCTTTTTCTTTCTTGTTTATCTGTGTTATTTTCTTGATAAAAAAAACAAAAACAATATAAATTAATAAAACCACAAAAAGATTTTCTTTTAAGCCTTATGATTATCTATATTCTTTTATAAATTTTGTTTTATAGTATATTCAGTAGATTCCCTTATTTCTCCTCCACCGATCTGCTGCTTTCTTTTCTTGCGCTCTGATTTTTTGCCTTTTTTTTAATTTTGTTTTTATTTAAAAAAAAATTAATGAAAGGTACACAACCTTGCTTAGGCAAAAATTATAAAACATCTTTGATAAGCTGTTGAACAAAATATTCTATATAAAGAATATAAAACGACTCTGACAGTTATTGAATAAATTATGAAATCCCCTCCGAGTGGGATACAAAAAATCTACTTGAGATATAGACACCATACATGCTTTTCTAGTAGAAGTTTCTAAAAAATAAAAAGTTTGATAAAACTAATTGACAATATAGAGTATATGGGATATTTTTTTAATAATTTTGTTAATTATTACACAGAGTCTCAACAGTTAATTTTATCAAATATGATGATTTAAATAGGTATATACTATCATAAATTCCTTTTTTTTTTTAAACTAATCTAAATTATAAAATTTGTTTAAACAAAATGTTTAAAATTTAATATAAATCTTGATATATATATATATATATATATATATATATATATATATATATATATATAAGAGAGAGAAAATGGGAACAAAATAATTATACAAGTCAATTTATCTAAATTATTATATTTAATAAAATTAACTCGTCAGATTTGGTGTAATAAATGAAGATATAATGTAAAAAACAAATCTTAACTGTTAATTTTATTAAATTTGATAATTTAGATTAGTAGATACTTATGTAAATTCCTTCTTATAAAAACTAACATACGTTGTAAATTTTGATAAAAGCAAATCATTGATATTTAATATAAATCTTGAAATTTATAGTCTTAACATCCTTTACAAGCATTTTTTACACTCTCACTAACGCCCTGTTTGATTGAGACGAAAGACTATTTACATGGACAGAAAAGAAAGAGAATTTGTGTTTGAATAAATAGATTTGCGCAGAAGGAAAAGAAGAGAAATGCGAGATTCCCTTCAAGCTCCTCCCTCTCTCATATGGGAAGAAAGAAGAGGAAAGTCACGTTGAAAAAGGTAAAAGACGAAGCTGCCCCTCCCTCATTCCGTCATGGATCTCGTGGTGGGTGATTCTCTCGTGCTATTCATGCACGTTCTTCTGCTCCAAGGTCAGGTGCATCCAAAGGAGAGGTAAGTCATGAACAGAGGTCACGGGTTGTACATGCAGAGGTCACGGGCTGTACAACCAACTTCACGTGTTCACAGCTTCACGTGTTCACAGCTGATAGAATTTGAACCAAAGCCCATAGTTGTAGGACTTATTCTTTCTTCTCTAGTTACAGCTGATAGGGAAAGTTATTGTATTATATAAAGCAAAGCTAGTCTCATAAGACTAGCTAAAAGACTCTATTCCATATGCCAAAGCTTGGAGTGGGACTTCGGTTCAGAAACATTCTTTACTTCACAAGAGTCTCCCACCAATCAGAGAATTAGCTTGACACAGTCAAAGAAAAGAGGATAGTTTGATCCCAGATTGAACCGAAGCCTACTTCCTTTTTCTTGGGATCTTTCTCTTTCTTTCGGGAAAGGGAACAACACCCTACTATGTTCTCAGTTAGCCCTTGTGAGTCGTGTTCTCAGTTAGCTCCTGTCAGTTGCACTGAGTTTTGAGTTGCCTTCGTGAGCGTGTTTAGGATCCTTGTCTTCTCCAACTTCTGTCTTTGTTAGAGCTCCTTGGAACCATAGGTAAGCGTCTCCTTTCCTTTCAACCATGACAACCTCGTCGTTCTGGCACCAAACTCTCTTCCGGTGGGCATCTCTCCGGTCGCCATGGTGGACCTTGTGGGTGCAGCTGCAGTCGTGTGCATGCATGAGAGGAGGTCCATAATCCCCCTCCACAATCAGCTATGCATGGCGACGATAATCTCTGCATGACGCATGGTAGGAACCAAAAAACAGCTCCACGACAACCTTTGCATGGCCATATCAGGCGGCGAGGGTGGGCCTTGTGGTTGCGCCCTTGTTTGGAGCCCCATAAACGTGGATCCATGGTTTGTCATACGTGAGGTTCATTTGTTTGTATTTGTGTTGTAGGCTGGATCTTCATCGGCGGCCATCAACTTTCGGTGTGACCTTGTCCCACCAACACCTTGCTTGGTATCTTGTCAGAACACCCTAGGTATGGTTCTGTGTCTTCTTTGTCATGGTTGGAACCTCAAACTTGGTTGGTACGGTTGTTTGTGGAGTCTGTGTGCATGCATAAGAGTGTGTGTGATCATTCAGATTAGAGGTATACAACATGGCCAAACCTCTTCCACTCCAACAAAAATTATTATTTTTTTCTTTCAAATATATAATCAATGTTAAATATATGGATAATTAATTAAAAAATTATATTTATAATAATTCTAACCTTATTTTATACACAAGGGTAAAATAGTAATTTTCTTAAATAATCAATTAAAATTATAATTTGTATATCTCATATCAATCAAATCACTCACAATTTTTCATAAACTTTCCTTTCACTTTCCATTCTTCAAAACAATTTTAATTTCACCTCCATTTTTTTCAAATTCCTCCTTTTCCACTCTCCCATTTCCATTCTCCCAAATCACTCTAACCAATCAAGTCCTAAGTGATAACTGCATAAACTAACCCAAAATTTAAGCGACACCTCCATTGAAAATCTTAATGCTTATGGACCACACCTATGGAGGCTTACAAATAAATTTGAACTAAATTTAGAAAATACTAATTAATATGGTAGGAATGAAATACGAGTATTATTCGTAATGCAAAAAAATAATAATAAATACTAGATATTTTTTAAATATATCGACAAAAATATTACCAACATATTTCAACTAAATAATAATTTTTTTTATTTAAAACAAAAATTTACCTCCATTCAAATTCAAATTCAGTATTCAACCAATTTAGTTAATCTCCTTGAATTTATTTATTTTACTTATTACTTTCAATTTATAATTTTCATCAATATCATAAATCCATGATATGAATTATATAATTTTTATTTATTATAAATCTAATTATATAAAATAACTATTTTATGCATTTCATAATGTAAAATACTAGTTTTTCCTATTTTAATATATACTTAAATTTTGTTTGTAACAATCCCATCTGCGGGTTAAAATGTGTACCATGAATATTGATGTACTTGTTTTCTGTTCGTGCGATCTTTTCTTACGATGGCAATGCTTTTCAAATTTGCTCTGTTCATTCTCTCCTTTCTCTCGTAAGTTCAAGGCTCCTTCTCTTGTGTAGTTTATTTCCCATTCCCCTGTTTGGTAATGAAGGAAATTGAACCCAAGAAGCATTTTTTTTAGGTTAATGGAACTGAAATTTGGTAGTTTGCAACAATAGGCTAAAGTAGCATAGCTTGGAAAGGGTAGAATTTGAGAGAAAGGAAATTGGACCCTAATTATTAGCGGTAACTTAGGTTTATTGAAGTAGAAAGGAGAAAGTTTTGGAATGATAGCAGAAATTTTAATGACGGAACACTGGGTTTTGTTCTTAATGCATATACTCTTTGTGGATTGTTACTTTGTTAAATTAAATATCTTGTCTTTCCTACTACCATCCATTTTTCTCTTCTATGTTCTGCTACACTTTCCCATGTTATTTTTCCATTTTTTTTGCAAATTTTTTTAACTTGAAAACTACCCATCTTTCTTACTTTTGAAAACTTGAAATGCAGAATTTATGGGACAGTTATTGATGAGTGAGGTTCTGAGGGGGGAAAAGTTGTATTGGAAAGAACTTTAGGGGTTTCATAGAGATAAATATAACAAAAATGGAAGAGAAGAAAGAAATGTTAAACTCCAATGTTGTTGGAAATAGCGTGTCACAATGTTCTCGGTGTAATGAATTGGAAGAAAGATGCAAGAAAGCTGAAGTGAGCTGTGTGGAGTTAGAAATAGAGTTTCTAAAGAAAAAGGAGCACTGTGACGAACTCGTGGCTAAAGTTATGGCACTGGAGGGAGAAAAGTTTGAATTTGAAGATAAGTTGAAATTTTTGAGTGAAGAACTTGAAAGGCTAAAAGAAGTTAGTTGTGGAAAAGCGGGAGAGATAAAAGTAATTGCTAATTTGACAGAGGACAATGAGCCTGTTCAGCTATTGATTGAAAACAAAGTTTTGCAATGTGAGAAGATTAGGGCCGAGAGTGAGGTTGAGGTCTGGAAAGACAAGTACCAGAAGTTGGAATCATGGGCCTTCCAGTTGGGGATGGGAAGGGGCGGTTATGAGGAAAATGGAAAGAAACTAGAAAATAAGCCAATAAATAATGAAGGAAATTTGCATCTTGATACAAGCTTTGGCTTCTGGCAGAATCTGGAGAAGGTTGTGGCTTTGGGGAACAGAAAAATTGGAGATATGCAGTCAGCAGGTAATAACTTGGGTACCCAATGGAAGCATGGAATTATAGCTTTTGTTTGTTTATTCTTTTGGTAAATAGCTTTTGAATGACTTTAATAAATTGTTTATTTGTTTTACATAACTGCAATCCTTAGTTAATGAATTGGGTGGTATCTAGACGTATATCATTACCTACTTATTTGCTTATTTATTTATTTTATGTATGATTAAGTGGTAATGTACTCTCAACATACAGTCAATTATCATATCAATTCAACTTTTTTCTGGATTATCTTATTATGTGTGTTGGGTTTTAATCATTAGAATGTTGGCTGTGTCTCCATCCAGTATATATTTAAAATTAAAAAGTGCATTGATCTTGATGTCATTGGTGCTCTATTTTTTTAATGGGTCTAGTAAAAATTAAAATAATACAGTTTGATAGACTTTATTCCTAGAGTAAAATTGCTGGAGTTTCTGACAGTGTGATTTTTTTATATATGTATCTGTGGGCCTATGTTGAAGATAAACATGCTGATGGCATAAAACAGTTGACATTTGAAACTGAAGAATCTCCCAGCAGAAAGGTGGCTCCATCTACACTCATGGGTGCAAAATTTGCTCCTGTCAGTGTGATTGATATCATCAATAGTGATGATGAACCTAGCAACACTCAGAAGCCTGTACCAGATAGTCAGGGTAGTAAAAGCATTTCTGTTTCAACGTGTTTTGCTGCAGAAGGAAAGGACTCTAACAACAGTTGTGTCCAAAACAGTCAGGCAAGTATGGATTTGGGTGAAGATCTCTTATTTGTTGCAACTCTTAAGAGAAGACGAACTTGTAATGTTGTTACAAGTGATTCTGAAAATGATGATGATGATGATATTCCAATTTGTAAGCTTAAAAGGAAGCATATTCAAGAAGTAAATTCTAAACATGTTAGACCTGACTTGGGTAGTTCACTTCCTGTTACTATTTCGGAAAATGACAAGGTTGCAGACACTGTAAAGACTAGGCGCCGTCTACTGCCTCTAAGAAAATGTGTAAGCAAAAGTCAGGATGATAAAATATCTTCATGTAGACCTTGTAAGGCCAAGCATAAGCAAAGTGTTGCAACCAATGATGATGTTGGTGAATCAGAAGAGGATTTGTCACACAGTGGGGGAGAAAATATGAGTGATTTTATTGTTGATGATTCTGATGTATCTAATTGTGAAGACACATCTAGCAACTCACAAGATGTATCTAATTGTGATTTGGACTCTGATTCCATTAACTCACAAGATGTAGATAGTAAGATGGATTCCGATTCACAAGATGCATCAGATGGAGACATGAACTTTAGTAAGATATTATCGAGGATTAAGAGGAGCATAAACAACGTGAAGTGGGAATTTGAGGCTGACATGCTTGCGGCATTTGGAAAGGATCCAGAGTTGTGTATGAAGGCTGTGTGCGCTCTTTATCGGCAGCAAACTTCTGAGGAACAGATGAGCAAGGGAACATTGCTCTCCAATCAGCGTGGATTCAGCAAGTTAGATGCTCACAGGTAGGTAGAAAAGATAACAATGTATGCAATGGGGCTTATGATGGTTATCGAATCTCTGTCATTTATTTTAAGGGCTATGGGTTGGGGGTGGGAGTTGATGTAGCATTTTCTGGCTCTCTTAATGGTTGTGTTGTCATTTACCTTAACTTAGTTTAATCATATTTGGTATAGAGTGCCAAATTCCTGCTTTTCCAGTTCAATTTTCAGCTTTAACTATTCATTTTATTAGAATTATTATAAATCCATTTCCTAGAAGAGTATATGATAGGGACTTGAGTATTATGGAGTGTCCAAGTCCCATATGGAGTGGCATGAAATGCCCGGTAGAATATCTAAGTATTTGGTTCTCTCCTATTAGCTTTTAAGAGTGGGTTTTCCAAATGCTTGGATGTTTATTAATTGATATTAAGGCTCATTGTTGATTTCAAAAGGGCTACCTTTGAAAGGTTCTGACTGATGGAGGGTTTTAACAAACGAAAAAGTTGAATGAAGTGTTATCGAGTAAAGTATCATAGAGTGAAAGTCATCGAGATGTCAACTTTTAGGGATGATGCTATGACAAGACTTGCATATTACCTGAAAGCGTGTAGCTATCAATCATATAGCATCAGTTTAAACTACCTTAAAAGCTTCTTTTGCTGCTTAACAAGTTGACACCATGTTATTTTGAATGTGGCATTTGCATTACTTTTGTTCCATTCCACATGCTAATTTTTGGACTGGACTCTACTATTCTATGAATTATATGCATGTCATACTATTTCTAAAATTGCATCCTTTTGCTTTTATTGTTACTTGGTCATCTGTTTTCTGCCAGTTTCTTATGTTTTCTAGCTGAAATTTGAATTAAAGGGGCAGTATTTTAGCCGAATTCATCACTGATGGAGATCCTCATGGGGGTTTAAAGAAGTCTGTGAAGGAGTTGCAAGAATATGACCCAGAAGCAGTTGAATTGTGCAGATCACTAGCGGCTCACTACTCTAAGCAACTGTATGAGATTTACAAGAACAAAGAGGATCCTCTTTTCCCTGGCTAGAGAATTCAATATGTAACATATGGAAAGGTTTGTATTTAATTGAACAGAAAATTAGTTCTAGAATATGTATATATATTACACACAGTGGCTAGGAAATAAGTAATGCCGCCATTACTTTTCGAAATTCTATCCAGCTTGTAGCAAATTGTTTAATTCATTACTACGCATATATCTTTAGCTTAATTTCACTTTTGGGGTCTTTATTTTCTCAATTTTATGAATTTAATTTCTTCATTTTTTATAGTATGATTATCTGCTATTTTAAGTATATAGTTTTGGTTTCTCCCTTAATTTAACAGCTGATATTAAAATGCTGACGTGATAGTGCATTAAAGTACAATATTTGCATTGTGTTAAATTTTAAATATTAAGATAACATGAATTAAAATTGGATAATTAAAATAGTTATCATCCAATTCTGTCTTTCTTTTATTTTATTATTATTTGACACAAATAATAGAAAGAATTTTAACTGATCCAATATATATATTTTTTTCAAAGTCTATATTAACACTAATTTATTCTTTGTGATATAACGATTTTTGTTTTATTATCTTCATTATAATCCACATTTTTTTCTCATTAAAATGTCCACTTTATTTTAAAATTATCTTGACCCAATAATTTATTTTCTCTTTTTACAACATGTTTTCTCAAGAAATTAAGTTTATATTTGGATGCATTTTTTATAAATACAAGAAAATGAAAATATGATTTATTTTCAATATAATAATTGTTAATTTTTCCTTTTCCATGTTTCTATTTTCATTCTTTTCTTTTTCACGGCAATTTCAATAGGTATTAGGTTCTCACCCACTGTATCTTGATGTCTTGCATATGTCACCAATGATAATTATTCTGTTGCTTCTATGTTCCAATTGAACAAGTTTTTTACTCTTCGAAACTTTTTATTCTATAAATATCATTGGCTAGGGGTTCTCAAAAATTGATCGGAAAAAATGGATACCATTTGAGTGTAAGAGAGGATAGGCATAGAAAAAGAAGAGAAAGAATCACTGGCAAGGAATCAAGTCAAGAAGTAAAAGTGTTCAAGAATCCCATTTAGTTCTTTTAATAAATCTATTAACTTTTATATAAAAGTGTGGATAAATAAATACCAACACTTCAACTCAATTCAAAGGGTAAAAAATAAGTTAGTGAAAGTAAGAAATGATATAAACAATAAAGATATCCGGCAATCCTATGAATGTTTAATTTCTGTTTTATTCAGTTAACCAGTAAAAGTATATATATAAACACAGTGTAGTATAACAGTCGAATATGTTAGTTTTTGGAAAACCGATATAAAATTAGAAATCGAGCTTAAATTTAAAGTTTATTATTTAGATAAACTTTTCCATAAGAGAAGAAAATGACACAAATTTCTCTATTGACTAAAATTAGCACATGATTTTTTTTTTTCTAATTTATTGTGTTTTTTACACATTAAGAACGTGTTTCATTCTTTCCCCAAGTGACACCAAATAAAAATAGTAAAAATGAGTAAATGGGTGCCCTGAACGTGCGGCGCACCTCTGATCGAAGATGGTGGCTTAGTTTGATGACGATGGCATTATAAAAGAAAGTGAAGAGACGTTGGGATTGAGCACCCACACTTTGTTGAATCATATTTTGGTTAATAGGATTTCTCTCCCTTTCTTTCTCTCTCGTGAGTTTGAGAAAGGGAAAGAGAGAGAGAGACACACTCACAAAGAAACAATGGCAGTTTCCAGGGTGGTTCTCTTTCTTGGTCTCCTTTTGGCAGCCCTCATGGCAGTGGCTTCCTCACAATCCACTGCTCCGGCTCCTGCCCCAACAAGCGATGGTAATTCTTTCTTCTTCTTTTTCTTCTTATTCTTCTTCTTCTTCTTTTCATCTTCCATGTCACATTTTCATTATTGTTGATTGCAATTTGCAGGCACCTCACTTGACCAAGCTGTGGCGTATGTCCTGATGTTGGTTGCCTTGGTTCTGACTTACATCATGCATTAATTCAGGCACCAACCCACTTCAATTTTTATTTCGAGGACACATGTCACAAGCACTTTGGAGGAAGAAAGATATTTTCATCTGAATGATGATGCATTTTGTTTATCTTCTCTTGCTCCAACCATAGTTTCATTCTGATTTTTGTTTTCTTCAGATGTTTGTTTATGGTGCTTGTTATTCTAATTCTTAGTTATTCACAATGAAAAACAAGAAATTGCGAAAACAACGTGTGGTTCTTCTTTGTCCATTTTCACAAAGGACTAGTTTTTTATGTTACCATGATTCCAACCCTATATCAAGTTAAGGATACCAGTGCTACTATAGATTGTATGGAAACAACGAAATAAATAAATAACGTGTAGAACGGTTAATGAAGATCTTCGCCAGAATTTGATATAATATAATATAATATGTGATATGATAGAATTTTTTGTCCTTATATTTTATATAGAAAATAAAAATATAATAAAATATTAAATATTAATAATATATCAACCTTTATTATTTAAATTAAAATAATAATAATAATATAATATTTTTTATTTTAAACAAAATTTTAAAAACTTTAAAATAATAACATTTTTTGAGACATAAGACAAAATATTTGAAATTACTTAATATTCAATTAAATATTAATTCTTCAAAAAAAAAATATAAGGATATAAAAATAAAATATAAAGAAAAAAAATACAAAGTAAATAAGAATGATGTGAAAATGAAAACTAATTTATGCTTTTATATAATTAATTACGAATGCAGAGAAATGCAATTTCCATGTCTTTTTTCATATTTAAGTGCAGAAATTTTGTTTGGACCCAGTATTTCTTTTTATAGATATTTTAAATAATTTTATCAGTCAAACCAATAATTTTTGTTTGAATTCAATATTGTCCTTCTTATTCTCTTCTCTTCTTCCTTCCATCACACGAATCAAATGTGAAATTTATTTTTAAAATTCTTAAAATATATATATATATATATATATATATATATATATATATTTAAATCGTAAATGAGAAATTCGTACTTTAAAACACGAATTCAAAAATTAAAAAAAAATATAGTTAAAAATATAATTTTCATTTCTTTTAGTTTTTAATATAAGTCGTATTTCACGATTTTTTTTAAATCATATATTTATATTTATTATTAGTAGTATATTTATTATTTTTGTTATTTTTTTATTTATATAAAAGGATATAAGTATGGTAATAATAATTTTAATATTATTAATGATAATAATAATATTATTAAAAATAATTTTATTATTAGTAGTATATTTATTACTTTTATTATTATTGTTTTTTAATTTAAAAAGATAATAAATATAATAATAATAATAATTTTAATAAATTTTTATAATTGTATAATAATAAAATGTATAATTATAATAATAAATAATAAAATTAATAATATTAATAGTTATAATAAGTATCTATTATTATAGTTATTATCAATAATATAAATTATGACTATTATGATTATAATAATAATTATTTATAATAATTGATAATAAAAAATATATGATTATTTAAAGATTAAAAATATAAAAAAAAAGTAAAGTGAAATGATATATATTGAATACGACTTAGAAAAACACAATAATTTAGTATTAAAATCATATATTGAATAAAAAAAAGGTAAAGTCATATATTGAATACAATTTTAGTATTAAAAAAAGAAAATCATGTATTAAAATATAATTTTTTTAAAGTCCTTTTGAAATACTATTAATCTATATATGGAATTTAAAAAATATATATTATTTTAAGAATTTTGAAAATAAATTACAATATATTGGTGATTTTGTCATCAAACATAATTATTTTAATAATGTTACAGTAACTTTTCAATATTTTTAAAATTCTAAAATGTTGTAATCAATATATGACAATATTATGAAAAAAAAAAATTAAGAACAGAGGCTATACACAACATTTAATAAAATATTATAAAAACATGTTAACAAAGTTCATGCAAGACACGTTTGTTGTATTAGGAAATTGCAAAACAAATTACAATATTCAAATAAAATACATAAATTCATTATGACCAAAAAGAAATATTACATTTTTATTGGGGAGGAGGAATGGGACACAGAAAATGTGACATTCACTTTATACATGTAATCTTGACATCATCTCACAAACACAAAACCACTTTCTTATTTGTAGACACATATAACTTATATGTGATATAAACCTATTGTAAGAGGCACCAAAAACCATCAATATTTGGCACCATTATTGTGATGATTATTATCTGTATCATTGACCATAGTTTCCAGTATCATACTGTAGTAGACCTGGCTGCGGTAGCAACATCAAGCGAATGAATCCATTCATGTCACTGTTCCTGTTCACATGGTCTCGGTCCTTGATCCCTTAACCCTGTCATTGGGCGTTGGCGTGAGTTCACTCTCTCTCCCGTCCTCCCCAGATATCTCCTCCAACGATCTTCCCTTAGTCTCAGTAACCAAGAACGAGCAGAAGAACCCTAACATGTTAGTCACAGCCAGAATAATCATCGCCTTCTTAATCTTGTACGTTTCACCACCCACCGTCAAGCTCTGTATCCCGAACGCTCCCACCAGAGCCCCAGCCTTCCCGGCCGCCGCGCTTAACGCGTGGCACGTGCTTCTCACGCGCGTCGGAAACAGCTCCGCGGGAAGCACAAACGTGGTGCTGTTGGGTCCGAAGTTCGCGAAGAAGAACGTCAACCCGTAGAGAAGAGCGAAGAGGCCCTTGCCTTCGCTCTTGAGATAATCGTACTTCAGACCGATAACAAACATGAAGAACGACATCATGAAGAAGCCCACGAGTTGGATCTTGTAGCGCCCCAGCCTCTCGATAAAGAAAACGGTGAACCAGTAACCGGGGAAGGTCCCGAGCAGAGCGATAACGAACATGGCACGTGACGTCTGGAACACTTCGTCGATGGCGTTCATGTCGGCCTCTTTATCTATGAGTCCAATCGCAGGGAAGATATCTTTCTGCGTCAGATTCTGGCTGTAAAACGCGATGTCAAGTAGAAACCACGAGGTCATGGTTCCGATCAAATGACGCCCGTGACGCTGAAAGAACTCGTTCGACATTAAAGGGTAGTTATTAGCTGCGTTGAACTCAGCCAGCTTATCCTGCTCCGCTTGGATTTCAATGTCCAAAACTTTCGCCATATCCGCCGCAGCTTGTTTTGCGTTACCTTCTATGATGGCCGTGTAACGCCCCGTTTCCGGCATTTTCATTCGCCAGTAGTAAGTCAACATCGCCGGAATGGCACCGATCATGAGAACCAACCGCCATAGAAGATCACCCTGTGGTTGCGTGGACAAGACGCGGTTTGTTTTGTACGAATCAGCTGGGTAATAGGAGTTGAAAATCCCTGAGAGTGTCATGGAGACAAGCCCCGCGAAGATGATTCCCACGCCCTGCATGGCGAACACGGCAGCTATAAAAGCGCCACGTGTCCTCTTGTTGGCGTACTCCGACATGATGGTGGCAGAGAGGGGGTAGTCACCGCCGATGCCGAAGCCGAGCCAGAAGCGGAAGAAGCAGAGCGTTCCCATGACGGATTTCGCGGTCGAACCGAAGGAGAGACCGGAACCAATGGCGCAGAGGACCATGAGGATGAGGGTGATTCCGTAGACCTTTTTGCGCCCTAGTTTGTCGCCGAGCCAGCCAAAGACTAACTGGCCGGCTAGGGTTCCGATGAGGGCTACGCCAATGACGAAGTTGTTGACGGAGGTTGGGAGTTTGGACGGCTTGAGGTTGCTAGGGTCGAAGTAGTACAAGCGCCCCAGAAGTTTGGAAACCGTGGAGATGCAGAAAAGGTCGTAGGCATCGGTGAAGAACCCCATGCCTGCTATCACTATGGCCGTCACGTGGTACCATTGCGTCCGCGCTGAATCAAGCGCCTCAAGCACTTCCAGTGCCATTCTCAACAACGCTTCCTCACTTCCCTCACAAGACTAGTCCTTTATTATCTTCTCTCACCATCAACACTCCCTTTATATATACATACAAAACAAATGTTGATAGAAGTTGGGAGTGTTTGAATGCAGCTATGGTCGTTTACTCCTAAGCTTTGGGGATGTGGACGAGAGAAAATTGGGACTGGTTGGTGGTTTTTTATGTGGATATTCTCCTTGAATTGATCAACTGAGAAGGATATCCTTATTGGAGATGTTAAAAAATTTGGACTAACCTTTGTCTGGATTGTTCATAGTTGCTGCCTGGCCATAGGGAATGTTCTGGCATTATTGTGCTGGGGTTTTGGCTGCTTCTGACAGCGTTGATATGAAGTGAACGTGAGACAAACGTTAATAGCTAAACAAAAAAAGAAAGCAACTATGCTTGTGTCTACAATGTGCTCTTCATCAACGTATTGTCGTAACTCATAATGTTTTTTCATTGAAGGAAAAAGAGTAAAATAATAACTATTATATTTTTAACTAATATAATCAAGTCACAACAAAAAACAGAATATATTTTTAAAAATTAATATATGGTTAGCTCAAATATTTTTTACATGAATAATAAATAAATAAATAAATATTTTTAATTAAATTAAATTAATTTTTCAATAATAAAATCTGCTTATTTCTAAACTTTTAGAAGATATTTTTTACTAAACAAAATCACTAAAATATTTTAAAAATTCAATGTGTTTACCATAATATTAATAGAAACAAGGTTATAATAAAGCACGAATATATTACTTATTTCAATTTATATTTTTTCTTCTCACTGAGATTATATTCCTATTTTATTATTCATTTGTTAAATTAAGTGCTAAATGGTAAAGTTGTTTGAATTAAAGGAAAGATGATAAGATTTAAATAAATTTATTATAGCTAATACGATTGAATATAAAAAAAATAATTTTTTTAATATAACAACCAAAATATTCTTATTGTTAAAATGAATAAATTAAGTATATTTTTAATGTAACTACCAAAATATTATTATTGTTGAAATAAATAAATTAAGTAAAATGATATTATATAAAATTGAATATAAGAATTTTAATTAATCTATATTGTACATAATAATATTTAAATAGTATAATTAAAATACTCATCATTTTGCGTGGGAACTATATACATATACATATATTTCTGCAAATACACAAATTCATGTAAATAATAGAAAGTATAAAAATAATTTTGGATATATTCTATTAATATTTTTAAGAAAATTAGATTGAACAAAAAAAGAAAAAAGAAAATGGAGAGTGGAAAAGAATGAGAGGAAATTTTATAACTGATTTGAAATAAAAAAATAATTTATTAAATTTTAAATATTCTTAATTAAAATTGAATAAAAATAAAAATAAATTAGTTTATAAAAAATAATTAATTTTAAAGTAATTAATTTTAAAATTATATAAAAATAAATTTTAAATTATTAATTAAAAATCATGTATAAAAATTTATTTTAAGTAAAAATTAAAAAAAATATATAATATAATTGAAAATTTATAATAAAAAATAAAATAATAAAAAAGTTAATAGAATAATTTATTAAATTGCTAAAATATTCTTACTTAAAATTTAATAAAAATAAAAATAAATTATTTTATAAAAAATAATTAATTTTAAAGTAATTAAATTTAAAAAATTTAAATTTTATAAACAAATAAATTATTAACTAAAAATCATGTATAAAAAATATTTAAAATACTAATTAAGAAAATTAAAATATAATAAAAATATTTATAACAAAAAAATCAATAACATTATTAAAAAAAAATTGTATTTAAATATAATTTTAATTTTATTATAATAAACAACTGTAAAATCACGTCTAACTAAAATATATATTATAACCTTAACTTATATATAATAAATATAATAATATTTTTTTTAATATAATCGATTATTCATCTTTCTATAATCGATTATATATACATTTATGTATTTGATTAGGGTGTTTTTAAAATTTTATGATTCATATATTTTGTTAAATTTTACGATCGAAATATAAATTTTATGATCAAATATTTTATTTATAATATAATTTAAGTATAATAAAAATATAATTGATCTAAATATGATATACAATTAACATAAATTTATATTAAAAATAAAAATGTTAACATAAGTTAAAATAATATATAATAAAAAATGTAATTTAATTAATATTTATTATATTGGTTATATGAAAAAACAAATGATTATGAATGATAAAATAGAAAGAATTATAAGAAAAAGTTGATAAAAGGGTAATATAAATATTGCATCTTGAAAAAGTTAACTTTCTTCCTGTTTCTTGTCTTGATTGATGGTAAATTACAATATATGGATCCCACCAAACTTTAACTGCAAAAATTTGCTTATCTTCATAGATACAAACATAAAGCATCCCCTTCATTTCTTCAACATCAGTAAATTCATTGATCTAAACATAAGCTAAAGGAGACAGATCATTCCTCAATCAACAATACTTCTTTTCTGCTAACGTATATAATTTTCATAAAGAAAAAAAAAAGGTTTTTAAGTTTGTTTTGTCATCTTATTGATTAATTAAATTTTTATATAAAAAAATGTCATTTAATCATAAACTAACATATATAATAAATTTTGTTAACTTTTAAATTAAATACTTAAAAATTATAATTTTTAATAATGAACGGTCTAAAATATTTGGTAAAAATAGACGGGTGAGCTTCTAGTATTTAGTTGATTTTGAACTGTTATCCCGAAAGGGATTTAATTTAAATATTTTGTAAAAAGCGCAACCACCATGCCAGCCTCATAAACGACGTGTCGTTGGGCCCAAAATTCCTTCCGTGACAGTGGAGGCACGTTAAATGGTAATAATAACAATCAATGATATTAGAAGTTTTTAAAAAAATGCGGTTTGGTTGTTGAAATCTGAGTTTGTTGCGAGTCACTATCTGTGTGTCTCCACTCGTCCATTCCCCGGGAAACGAAAATGAAATGGGATATGCAGATGGAAGAAATCGAAGCCATTCTCGAGAAAATTTGGGACCTCCACGACAAGCTCAGCGACGCCATTCACTCTGTTTCCAGATCCCACTTCCTCACTTCCCTCAAAACCCTCAAAAACTCTTCGCCCCTTCCCACCGCCACCGCTAACGCCGCCGATGACCGCTCCGGCTTCGTCTTTGTCAAGGACTTCCGACCTTCCGACGACGATGATGACTCCGCTGTTCGTGACGCCAAGAGTCTCAACGCCATACGGACCGCGCTTGAGAACCTCGAAGACCAGCTTGAGTTCTTTCATGTGAGCTCTTTTTCCTTTTTATATTTCTCCTTTTCTTTCGTTTTGTTCTCATTTCTCTGCGTTATGGCTTGAAATTTGGTGAAATTGGATGTTAATTCGTGTTTCCGGTTGTTGTCCTTCGCTTGCCGCGTATTTTGTCTCGAAAACTGGGCGTTGTTGACTATTTGTTATGTTCGAAATTTTATTGAAGTTAATATTCGGTTTGAGTGTTCTCTTTAAGGCACAACAAACGCAGATGCACAACAACCGAGCGAGCGTGGTTCTTTCTTTGATAAGCAAATAATTCATTAGTGATGAAAATCCTTACTTGAGCACAAAATGTGCCTAACTTAGTACACAATGGAAACTCAAACCACGACAATCAGTACCACAAAGTACTATGTCAAAACAGGCTTGCAGTTCTAACTTGTTTTAAATTAATCAGTCTTGGATACGCTGCTGCGCTAAATACTCGGAGAGAACTTTGTTGACTATAGTGGTTTTAACCAGTTTGAGCAGATTTTTTTTTCTTGGAACATATCTATAGTCTATACAAAAAAAAAAAGACGGATGCATAATAGACCATGTGTGATTATTAATTTATTTACTTTATGGTGTGATACATTCAGATTTTGGTATCCAGAAGCCATTTTGGACCGTGACTAATTCAGGTCAAGATGGTAGGAGGAAAGCTCTATAAGCAGTTCTTTCCTCTATTCCAAGCTCCGATGTTAAGGAAACTGAGCTCTTTAGTTGTTGAGTTAGAAGATAAGTGTGGGTGTATGGGATATCTGTTGGGGGGTTTTTCATCTTCTAAAGTTTTGAATAGATACATACATGTATGATCTTTGGTTAAATAGCATTCATTGTCTAGGGAATACATTTTTCTCTGTTTTATCTTTTTAAAAAGTAGAGGCTCTGCTTTAAGTTGCGTGTCAGTTTTGTTTTGGAAGATGCTGTTTACGTATTGTTGTACATTTATTGAACCAGTTTGGTTTTGAGTTTGACATTGGGACAAATGAACGTGACCCTTAGGTGTGACCTGAGGAAACAAAAGGAAGAAGCATGTTAAGAACCAGATTTGATTGATGAGATTCCATTCAATTATTGAAAAGTAAAAAACATTAAAAACTATGTCCTGCATGAAGTTTTCTAATGAAATTGTTAATATACTTATTTGCTTTTATGGCTGCAATGATATTGTTTATGAAACTGTTATCGTCTTTTGAGTGGAAATCATTTTTTAAGTTGACTGAATTACTTCTTTTTTAAGAGAACTCAAAAGTCATGTTTTCATTCTATTGTGCTTGTAATACATTTTGGTGATTGGGTCATATGTTAAATCTATTGTCATGATTCCCCAGTCTTGTTCATTCACGTTAGACTTTCCTCTACTATTTGTCTTTATTTCTGTAACTGTTTACTACCTATGTTTCTTTTGGTCTATGATTTCTATATAGTTGGCCCCTTTTGTTGTCCTTTCATGCACATTATGCTTATGCTAGCCAAGTGTCACCTAGAATGCATTTGAAAATCTTTTCCAATAGGTCAAATGAGCTGCTAAAAATTAAAATTATACGTGATGGTTTGATTTTCATATGTGTATGTGCATGCATTCAATTTTTTCTTTTTTTTAATCTTTTAGCTTGCATTTTCATTTTCATCCTTAGAGCAACAAATGTCATAATTATTGGAAAATTTTAGATGACACTATTAGAGGATGGATTAAATGGCAAACAGCCAGACCCTAAAGAACTAGTTAGGATGTTGTGTAGTGTGTCAGCGACGAATGACAATTGGATAAAAAAAAATCACACAATCACACACTAGGCCCAAACATTTAAATATGCATTAAATTTTCAATATAAGAAACCAAAATGTTTGAAGTCTTGTTGGGAATATATATAAAGCTGAATTCAGGTAGAATATGGTCCAAATTGGCTCATAAAGCAGCATGTCGTTAAAAGAGAATTAGAGAACTGAAGCAAACAAAGATGAACATCGAACCAAATAGATGAAGCAGAGCCAAAAAGCAAACCACATGGAAAACACCAAACATATCTAATTTAACTGTAGCCAGAATACAGTGTATCCATATAGGAATAAAACACAAACATCCCATGCAGACAGGAGTAAAATCAAACATGTTGGAAACCAGAGAATTAAAATCGGGGTCTAGCTGACTAAGGGAGGCAGCTTTGATAAGGGTTGTCACTAGTAAGTCTGAAGATGTGTACTGTTCTGGGCGTCAGGCTTTGGTAACTATGTTTCTCTCAAAGTAATAGGTGCCCTCTGAACCTGATAGCAATTTTTCTTTTCTTAAAATGGACTATAAAATGGTAAAATGCGAGAAGACTATCTGGCAACGAAACTGGCAACATTTTAGTGAGATAATGGATTTTTTTAGCCTGGTATTTGGGAAGATTTGGGAAGATCTAATAGGAATGATGTAGCCAAAAAGAGGCCTAACATAGACACTCCCAACATACAGGCATGACATGCCTTGAACCACTTGATTAACGAACCCTAATTCGTATCAGTCAAGATGAGATGGAGCCCTTGTATTCATAAAGTTTATGGGCAGAAATTTAATGCATAAAATGAACCAACAATATACAAACATGCAATAGCATTGTCTTTCCTCCAGTTTCTTTTATTAATCAGTTAATTGCAAGCTTTACGTTGCATGAGATTTTATTGGGAGTCTCTAATGTGAAACTTCATTCTGTATATGTAGACTATTCAAAACCAGCAGCGTGTTGAGAGAGATGCTGCAATTGCACGCTTAGAACAGAGCAGAATTGTTCTTGCAATGAGGCTGACAGAACACCGAGGTAAAAAGTATAAAGTCATTGAAGAAGCTCTTGCTTTTATTGGAGATGTACATGATGCAGGATGCCTTGTCGCTCCTGATATTCTTCTTTATGGACAACCAACCTGTTCTTCTGAGAATTTTGCGACTGTGAAAACGAAGAGATCTAATATTCTTATCAACATTTTTGTCTCTAGTTTCAATTTTGTGAAGAGATCCCTCGGATTGGATCATATGGGTGGAATAGTGGGAAATGCTGCTTTAGTTGCAGTTAGCATGATAGCTTTGCTTCATTTACATCAAGTAGCTAATCATGAGCAGCCATATAGGCAACAAGATAGAGTTCACAGCCACAGAACAACTGTGAGAAGAACTAAATTGGTCGGTTCTTCGTCCGATGCTCATTCCAATAATTTGGATGTATTGTTAGCTAGAGGTTAGGATTGAAAAGCTTGCTGTTTTCAAAACAACTGATGAGTGGATTATGTTTTCAGTGTTTTTTTTTTTTTTCCTCCTTTTTTGTTTTTCTTGGTCCTTTACTTTTTCCTCCGATGCAAAGGATACCTGAGGCCTGGTATTGTGAGGGGAGGATATGCTAAAGTGGAGCAAAGCTTGGTGTCCTTTGACCAAAGGCTCTTGAGCGTCTTCTTGGTTTTTGTTGCCACTGGAAGTTTTAAAAGTGGCATTGCAGATTGGGTTTTGTTGCCACTTGAAAAGTTGCAATATATATAGATTGTGTTTCCCAGATTCCTTGTTGAGATGCAGATGCTTGAAGTATTATAGCTAGATGGAAATCGCACAAAAGTTTCTTTCTTTCTGCTAGGTAGTGTCATCTGTGATAAATTCCTGCTCAATTTTTGTCAGCTTTAGTTGACTGAATGTGAATGCCTTGTATCTTCATTTTTCGTGTAACAATCTACTCTGTGAATACTTTTATGTTGCAAGGAAGGAAATATTTTGGTGTTGCCTGCAAAGGAAATTGATTATGCGACTGATGGCAAATGTATTTGGACTTGAATCGTCCAAAATTGAATTTTGATTATAATTGTCTTGTCTATTTTATCATTGCAATTTGAGTTAGAGGACAATTACATGGTATAAAATGAAGTAGTTTTTGTATAGTTTCCATAAATCAGAATACTTTTATTACCTTTGTGCTTTATGCAAGATAATCTAACACTTCCTAGCATTAATCACGTTTCCATTACGCCGAACTTTCATAAACTACTGACTTAATTTAATGTCATTTTATTTTAATATTTATTTATTATGAACCTTTGATAAAAAAATTAAATTGATTTTAATGATACAAATAATATTAAAATCGATACTATAATTTGATTAGCGGAACATTAGAAATATTTTATTTTGTATTAATGTTGGTTTTAATTTCTAAACATGAAAAAAAAATCTCATATTTAATAAACACATGTTTTTCTCCTAAATACTAAATAAAAAAATAAAAACTAATTTTCTTTCCTCAAATTTAGTGCTTAGATTTTAAAATCTTTCTTTTTTTTTAATTTCATCGGAGTAAAAATTTATTATCAAAGTTAGAATTATCCTAGATTTTAAGGAAAAAATAATAATTAAGCCTTAAATGTTCTTTAGAGGACGATGGGTTTGTGTTATAAAAAGAAGTTATAATTTTAATTTTTATTATTTTTTTAATGTGTTTAGAATGTGTTTTTTAAGAATGTCCTATAAAAAATTACGTAGATGATGTTTATTTTACATAATTTCGAACTGTATATTTTGTGATGTCTTTTATAGTCATTTTATAATTATCATCTGGATTCCAGTTTAAAAATGGACCTAATTTTACTGGGCCAGTACAACAGATCACGGACCAATTATGTGGAACATAATTTTTGCATTCCTTTCTGCTCTTCGCATCTTCTTTTAGTAATTTTTCTATTTCAATATATTCTTCATACATGTTTGATTTATCATTTCCTAAATTGAATTTTGAAACCATATGAAACTAAATAAATAAAAAATACCCTTCCAAACTTTAATTCCTGACATGTTTGATTCACTTATTTTCGAACACACTTTGATGAATCTAAAATTAAGAGTTTGTGTAATTTTTAGTTTTTAAATACAAATTTATTTTTCGAAAAAAATGCAGCAATTTAATAAAAACTTATTTGGTGGAACTTGAAATTGTAATTAAGACCCTTCTTAATAAAGAAACTGCTTAGATCAATTTTAATTTTTTAAAATAAATTAGAAAAAAAACTTGTTTGATTGATAACTTTATTTTTAAAAGCTATTTTAAAAAGAATAAAGCATAATAAAATCATGAAAAAAATTAGGAAAATGATTAATAATTTTATAATAATAAAAATGAATATTATTGATAAAAATATTAATATCCATTTAGATGAAACAAAAAAAAACTAACACAGAAAGTGTTTTTAAGAGTTATTTTTCAATATAATGATATTAATAGTATTTTAACCTCTTTTAAAGTATCATTTTCGTTTTCCTTTTTAAACTGAATTTTAATGCTTTTTAAAAGAAATATAACAGTTAAAAATAACACTGTATTGTAATATAAATTTTTATCATTAATTTAAAATATAATTTATATGTTTTTAAATATTTTTTGATTATGAGTTTTGATTATAATATAGTGCATATATTCAAAATATTTATTAATTATAAATTTTAATTATATAAATATATTTATTTTGTGTATTTTACAAACTAAAATAAAAGCTATTTAAAAGTACTTAAATTTTATTTTTTAAAAAGAATAAATTTGAAAAAAAAGTGAAAAGTAATTTCACAAGAGTTTGAAAAGAAAAGAAAAATTGCAAATATAATCCCCTTCAAAATTGGTGATGTTCTTGAAGTCCTACGGACTATTAAACAACTAATTTAGTCAAAGTAAAATAATTATTTAGTAAAACAATAAACAAAAAAATAATGTGTGAGAAGTAAAATAATAATAATAGAGAATAACAGAAAATTTAAGAGAAACAAAAGTATAAGAAACACAAATTTTGTGAAAACTTTGAGGATAAAAAAATATGAATCATCCAGATTAAAAAATATAATTACTATAATTAATAAAAGATTAAACAAATTTCTGACAAATACATAAACAGTACATACAAATAAGAGATATAATAATGAACTTATTTTCTACATCTAAATAGTTCGAAAGTTCAATATTGAGAATTAAATTTTATTATTAGATGAGCTTTTTAAATTAAAAGAAAAGAAAATAAATCTCTAAAATATTCATAAAATAAAAAATATAATTTTAAGTAGTTATATAAATAAGTAATTATCTAAGCAGTAGATTTGGAAATTTATTAATTTATTTTGTAGAATAGAAATATAGAAGACATTGAGATAGAATGTTTTGGAATTCATTATTAAAATTTGAGTAATTAAATTATTTTACTAAGAGATACAGAAACAATACGAATAAAATAGATAAAAAGAATATATTATAATAAATGACACTTTTTTTTTCTTCTTGGATCAAATAAATAAAATTAATTTTTCCTTTTTCTATCTTATTCCTTACCAAACAAAGTAGATGAATGAAAATATTGGCATATATGGTATATTTTTTAATCGCACTGAATAATTGGTTGCCAGATACTATATCTATCCGTATGGTATAATTATTTTCAAAATATGCAACATACGATACATATAAAATAAAATACAAGTTTATGTAAAAGTTCATAAAGCATCATAGTATACATAAATCTTAAGATAATTATTATTTAGATGTATAAATTTACTATCACTTCACATTAACAATTTATATAATTAATGTCATATAAACTAAACATATGTTTTATTAAAAGCTATATTTAAAATTGTGAGTTTGAAATCACAACTTAATATAAATAAAAAAATTAAATTATTTATAATTAAAAGATATATAATTTAATATTTTAAAGTTTTAGGTTAAAAAGTGAAATCCTACTTAGTCTTATTATTACTCTAAAAAAATCTAACCAAATAATATTTATAATTAAATAACTGTGTAAATTACAAACAATTATTGAACAAAATTTTCACTAGTTGATGTATTTTATTGAAATAATAATTTTAGGGTGAATCAAACCAACATGATTGCATGAATCTCGACATTCATTTTCATGTCCATGCTCTTTCAAACACAGACACCTTCCCCTACCTTGTCTCCTGTCCATGGATAACTTCATGAATTTCTTACGTTATTATTTTTTTTTTTATCAGTTAAAATATTTGAACACGAGTTCCATTGAAAGAGAAGAAATTTACAAATGTAAGAAATATTAAAATTGGAAAAAATATATAAAATAATAATTTTATGGAGTCTGATATATATAGACATGTGATAAGAGAAGAAACAGCGTGTGTGAACCCTCGTAGCCTTGTCATTCTCTGCCTCTGAACAAGAACACATGACTTTCATTAATGCCACGTGTTTCCTCATCACCATCATGACATGCTCTGGATATTTCCCACCTTCATCTCTCCTCTTATTTTACCATTAATATTAAACTTGCATTGCAGGCCTTGCCATATGGATTTCACGTGCTTCCATCACCTCCTTTTCCCTCTTTACTCTTTCTACCTTTCCCCTTTTGCCCTCAAACTTTGTTAAACAATAAAATCCAAATTCATTCAAAAAAAATTATTTTATCATTTCATTTTATAATTAATGTTGTTATATACAAAAAATGTGTAAGATTTTACTGTAATTATATAAAAGTGGATTCATAATTAATAATATACGTTTTTAACACGATGATAATACCTCAAATTTAAAGTAAATGAAACCAAAATTCAAAATTTTCATCCATGCGATTTTATCCTGCCGGTGGAAAACTTAAGCCTTGATTTTGTGGGTCCCGGGACTCGCACGGACTCCGTACGGATTGACACGTGGCAAACATTGTCCCATAAGCTTGGTTCGCGGAAGGCAGTGTTTGGAATTCGAGTTGAAACGTTGGTTGGTTTGCACTAATTGTGCGTCAGTAGGTGGACACGGCATTCATTATGTCGGAAATGAACGGCTATTGTGGGGTCCAAGCTTTGCAAAGTCAAACTATCTACGGCTCTGATTTCAAGCCTAAACTTATACAATAATTATTAAGACAATCTTCTAAAAATACCTTTAAAATATAAATAATTTTTTTTTTGTCACAACATAGAAATTAAAAGTAAAAGTATCTACACATTAAAATAAATTTATGTAAAAGTTTATTATTTCACTTTTTTCTCTTTAGTATCCTCTCTCAAAAATATTTACGTAGAAATTTGTTCATATATATTTAATATTTTACAAGCTAACTAAATTATACGTTATTTTACATATATTTTATAAAACAATAATAATGATATAGTTGTTGATCAATGATAATAAAAAATATTTAATATAACTCTTCTAATTAAAATTAAAAATGAATTGAAAAGAAAAGTGGTGCACACGACAGTTTCTGTGGACTTGCGGAGTGGGTAGGGACGGCCCAATCGTGAGAGGCCAACAGCTGGGCTTGACTTGACTAAAAAGGGTGAGATAAGAGTTCTTTCTCACATCAAACTTTTAATATCATTATTATTTTTTTTTACTTAATTTTAATAGTTTTTTACGTGCTCAAATTTCGAGATGTTTTATAATAATAGTGAAGAATGACACATGAAATAAAAATAAATAATTAAGAACAATGTAAATTATTTATGCATGTTAAATGTGTTAGTTTTCACAATGATTATTTTAAAAATTATTTCAAAATAATTTTTGATCGGTGAAAAAATAGTTTTTGTTATTGCAATATTAAGAATTGAAAAACCTAAAAGGGTTTTTAAATTCAGAGACTTGTTTTGGATGCTACACTTGCATAAACACAGTGACTATTCACACGTGAGAAGAAACATGTTATGCACAAAAGCACATGAAGTATGAGTGAAGTGGGTAAAATAAGCGTTGGATGTATTGTATCTGCGTGGAGAAGAGGAGTTGAAATTTTCTTGAAAAGTATATTGTGAGTGCATATAAAAAAGAGTATATATTGTGAGTAAATTACGTAAAGTTGAAATAGAAGTTAATTCCACATAAAAGAATATGAAGGGAATCCAATGACCTATCCCTCTACAAAGTAGATATGCTATGGCTATAGGTAGAGACATATATCATGTGGCAAACATTTTGAGGTGACTTCAGATCTAAATTTGAATTTTGACTCCTTCGGGATTTTCATAACCCTCTTCAACCCACATCACCAAGATATGCAAAACGTTAAAATCACCTTACACAACTCTTGGATTGAGCCATAATATGAAATTATACAAATCATGCTATAACACTAAGTTAAAGTACTATCCCAGATTATAATAACCTTCAACTTAATCTTTATCATCCTCATTTTAATTCATCTTAGCTTTGCCATACAATTCTCAAAGTTGACATTTTATAAGCTTGAACACCAAATCGAGCTATACACAAGAAAGATATGGCTGTGCATGCATGTATAGTCTTACGTGAAACTCTGTTCAATCATTATACCGTTTAAGGAAAATTTGGTTTTATTTTCAAGTAATTTATAGTACGAATTACTGTACCATACTAAACTTTTATTTTGAGTAATCATTAACTATACTAATCTTGTCTAATCAGCTTATATTTTATTTGTAATCGACACTACATGATAAAATAAGAAAGATACATATATTTATAATCTCTACTAAAAAATAAATAAAATATTTGCTAAAAGTAAATTAAAATAAGAGATGAAAGGTTGATGAAACAAATTTAATTTACTTCTAAAAATGTCATCTACCTTTTATAGTTAGTTGGTGAGCTAAAGGGTTGCTATAATTGTCCCCAACTTGTTAAGGACAATAGAACCGATCTATTCTCATTTCAAATCCAGTGGTTGAAAATCTAGACGACAAATACTAAATTCAAGTAACATCTGAATTTTGTTATATCCAACATGAACGTGAAAATAATTGTTTTAAAATAATTTGACAGAAACTTTACTTTTACCATGAAATACTATATTGCAGGTTTTATAAAGTAGTAATATTTAAGCTTTTCAGAATCCTTTTGCAATCATAAAGTTATGATTTGTGACAGTTTCTTTTCACCATTGATGTCAAACGGTACTTAGTGGTTATGTTGTCACAGACTGTAACTACTGTTTTCAATGTTCATATTTTTACTGGTTCTAGGTCGTGAAACTCTGCAACTTGCAGAGATATTGGGAATTTTCTGCACTTCTCTCTGCGTGGAACAGTCACATCCTGTATGAAGTATCTCCATGTTCTGTTTAAGTTGTTTGTTTGACTTGACTTTTCTAAAACATGTTTAAAGAAAAGTATTTTAATAATTATATCTTTTTGAAAATTATATATTTGAATATGTCATTAGCTCTATCTTATACTACAACCATTTAAGTGGTTCCAAAATGTCTAAGTATTTTCCCCTACCACGGGTTTCATGGTCAATTTAATTACTAGAAATTATTTCTTTTGAGGTAATTAATACGATGGTTAGAAGACTATAATTAAAATTTAAATATTCTTTGATTCAAAATAGAATAAAATTTTATGTGTATGTACTTGTATCCTATAAAACTTAACTGGGTAAATAATAAAATATTGTCTTTTTCTCTGAATTGACAACTAAAAAATGTTCTAACTATAAAAACAACTTTTATCGTTGTCTTTGTCTATACTAGAAGGAGAAGGGATGAAGAAAGATAAGATGTCAAATATAAAAAATAAGATTGTTTAAAATAAGTAAAAAAATATTTAGTTTGTTGTTATAATGTATTTTGTATTTTTTATATTACTTTTAAATAATAATGATAATACACATTATTTTGCCTATTATTATTATTACTATTATTATTATTATTATTATTATTATTATTATTATTATTATTATTAGAATAAAATAGTATATCTCCTTTAGATAAAATTCTCAATAAGTCATTAGAACAGAGCAAATAAGTAAAAATTAGGATTTTTTTGTCGTTTTAAAATTTTCTCAAACAACAATAATTTTAGAATATAAAACTAAGAATAAAGCATGCGATTAATGACAAACCTTAGAAGCATGTTATATGCCATTAATGACAAACAAAAGAACTTAGCTAATAATGTTTGATTAGATTATTCGAATATGATTCGATCTTGTAGTTCCTGTTGTTATTCTCTTTCCATATATATATATATATACAGAAGAAAAAAAATGATTGTATACAAGTGTGCACCCATATTATCATTATTAAGTCCAATGCTTGAATTAATTAGCAAATCAAGTTGAAAACAGCATTATGATAGAGACCCAGTTGATTCTGATAGAATCCTGATTTTGATGTTTGTTAAGTAGGGTGAGGCGAACGTGTGGAGTAGCAGAAAAGGAGCGTGAAACTAATCATAATGCTCTGCAAATCATAAATAGAGTCTTACCTGCGAATTGTGACATAATCATTCACCTGTCTTGTCTCCTGTTCACTTTTCGATTCATCATGCTCTTGCACGAGTTTAAGATTTGAATTAAGATAATACTATTTTAGTTACTAAATAAAGGATGTTAGAACAAAAATATCAGTAATTATTTCTGATAATTAATAATTTTATCTATATTTATTTTCTAGCATCTCTTTACTCGTTCCCTGTGATATTTTCATGCATGTGTATCTTCTAGGTTGTGGAGTAATGGGGAAGCAATGATCTTTTGTGCACACAGTCCCACCATGAGGGCTTGACGACAGCATGCATTCGTTACAGACATAGATACTATATTTTATTTCCTATAATCACTCACCACAACATAACACAATTGCAATTCACAACCACAGAGAATGAAATACATTACTTGTTCTCTACGCAAAACAAGTATTTAGGCCAGTTACCTGTTGGACAAAAAAAGTACTCTAAACCATTTTTATTAACACTTATCTAATTGTTCTAAAAAATAAATAATTTTAATCCTTATATTCTACGAAGACAAAATAAAAAATGATTATTTTTAAATTTATTTTGGGAATAATTTGATTAATCCTAGAAAAAAAATACTAGATAGAATTGTACTTTTACTTATATTATAACTTCGATAAATTATTTGGATCTCCAAATTTTAATTTTACAATTTTAATATTTTGTTTTTGTTTTTTTACAATACTATTACTTGTGTATAGTTAAAATTGTAATGTTAACTATAATACGATGTTAAGTAGGTTATGCAATAATTAATATTAAATAATATTTAGACTAAATTTAGTTTTTGGGTTTTTCTATTTTTTATAATTTATAATTTTTTTTATTTCACTACTATAAAACATAATCAATGTAGAATAACTTATGTTAAAAGAAACCAATAATATTTATGTAAATGAACTAAAAAATTACTCTACTATAAGTTTAACAGATGTTAAAAAAAATTCTCTACATAGTTTAAAATTTGAATCAATGTAAAAAATATTTCTTATATATTTATATTTTTAACCCTTGAATCAATGTAAATTTTAATATCCTCTGCAATTAGGTTGTTACAGTTGTGTACTCATAAGTGAAATACATTTATATTTTCTTTATTTCTATAAATTATACTGGTCACCTTTAATTTTTTTTATCTGCAACTGTCATCTCTTTATTTTTTATTTTCTTCACAATTTTAATCTCTTAATTTTAGAACTGAACATGAAGTCTAAAATCACATTATTATGATCTATTTTAGGGTTCAATTGAAATTAAGTATGAAGAAAACTTACATATTTTTGAAAAACGAGAAGAATAAAATCGACAAAATAAACACTAAATCACATATAAAAATTTCTAAAAGAAACTAAATCACAATTTTGATCTATTTATTTTACCCATTTAGTTTTAATTTTGGCTTGATAAATAAAATACTACTCCTAAAGTTTCCTTCATTTGGAAAGATACCCAACAAATTCTTACAGGATATTGAATCTTTGTAACGCTTTAAGAAATATCACTACAAAATTTGAAACTAGTTAAGAAAATTCACCTTTTAGTTGCATATTTGACTAGGTGAATGCATAATATATGTTACCAATTTGAAGGTAGTGAAATCAATGGTTAATTTTAATTATTACTCAATAAAAAAAAACACTGATTTAATGATTCTCAATTTAATGATTTCTGTAAATAAAATAACATCACTCTAACAAATTTAAGGTTTCGATTTTGAAAACCTTGAAAACAATAATATTTTTAAGAATTATTTCCTTTTTCGATTAAAGCAGGATATTTTTTTTCTTAATTACTTTATTTATATTTTTTGTTTCCTTAAACAATAGTTCTACAAATAAAATTATTTTAATTTGAGAGATAAAAGGCAACATTAAATAAAATAGAAATAATATGTGAATAATAATAAAGTTTGGTTCTCTCCAGGGAACATTGAAGTAAGCAATGAAAAGAGGTTTTATAAAAAATAAAATTGCAATGTGTCGAATTGAGGCGAACACCCCTTACACGAGGGATAAATGGGTGAGTAGTCACCACCGCCTGCAAGGTTCGAGTCGGCACTTCACATCTCAATAAGTTTTGTCCACATAAACAACACATTCTACACAAACCTACCTTTATCGTTTTCTTATTACGGGTCAAATATTTGAATAGGCAGCCCCAAAAGTGCCAAAACCAAAGCAACCAGAATCAAAGTAAATCAGAGAGTTAGCAAGAACTTGGTACAATTGGATTGATACTTGACAATATACATTACACTCTCAACCACCTTCATTATTAGCCAAAGGAAACATAAATAGAATCTAAACAAAACTTCGTTCAACCCCGTCCCTTTATGCTACTGGAATTTCTCTATCAATAAATAATAATATGCACTTACTAAAAACAAACTAATATTTAAACAAAATTATTTAAATATTAACCATTTTTTGTTTTTGCCACAAGAACAAAAATATTTTGCCTTCAGGTCTTTGAGTCTCAGAGAGTCACCAGAGGATCTGAGCCTAACAAAATGTCTTCGAAGTAATCGTCCACTTGGCACAATGACGATGACGACGACCACTTTTCTTCAGAATCCTTAACACCACCCAAACAGTCACTAACAAAAAACGGTATCGTTTCGTCAAATATATGCGAAACAGGTTCGTCGTACATAGCCGGAAAGTTAAACACGTCATCCAATGACATATCCCGTGGCCAAAAATCGCTACTTTCGTGAAACGACACCGTCTCGCCTTCACACTCTTCCATGAAGTGACTTTGACTGGCAAAGGGTTGTTCCGATTTCTCCTGCTCGTTGAATCGGAGAACAGATGTGGGCGACGAAAGGTTGTGACAGCTCTCGTCAGTTGAGTCGTAACCGGACACTTCGGTCTCCGGCTTCACCACCACATTCATTTCTAATTTTCCGGCAGAGGCTTTTTCTTTTTCCGTCGACTCCTTCGATGTGAAGTTCGTTAACGCGTTAGGACCGCGAAACGCAACCGCGGCATTGTCGTATACCAACGCAGCTTCTACGGCAGTGTCAAAGGTTCCGAGCCAGATCCTATTGCGGTTTATAGGATCTCTTATCTCCGCCGCCCATTTCCCCCACGGCCGCATCCGCACACCGCGGTACTTCTTCACGCGCCAGGTAGCTGACAGCTTGGTCGCCGCTATTATCGCCGCAGGCGACGGCCGAAAAGTAGTGATTTCTCCTGCGTTTCTCTTTTTAGAAGCCACTGTTTTGCCCGCAGGTTGAATTTCAATTCTGTTGACGTAACGCTTGACTCTGGTGCGAGAGGTGTTTTCATCGTCGCTGGATGAATCTGTGGCGTAAGGATCGGTTACGAATATAGAAATGACTTTGGGAGGAAGCGAAGCTGTTTTTAGTTTTGTGTGTTTTTTCTTGACACTCTGGTGTACAGTGTATTTGCATAGGATGCTGTTTTGTTTTTGGTGGTGTTGCTGTTCCATGGGTGTTTGGTGTAGGGAGAAACTGTGACGGTTTTGTGTTAAGAAATAGAGAGGATGTGTGAATGAGAAGATTAAGGAAAGGTTGTGATGTGGGTGGAGAAATCTGGCAAAAAGGCATTAAAAGGAGGTGAAAATGGAAAGAGGATATTAAATAAAATGTGAAGGGGTCAGTGTTTGAGTGAGTGAAGAATGAAATTTGGTGAGAAAGATGGGAATAAAGAGGAAAAGCTTTAAAGGTGTGGAGTGGTGAAGGTCATGAGGGTGAAAAAGCAAAACATAACATCATCTCTGGTGTGTGAGTGTGAATTTCGATCGGGCTTTAAGAGAAAGGGCGATTCTGAAGGGTTTGTTTGAGTAACTATAGTGGCTGGAAGAGACTTTCCTTGAAACTTCTTTTTGGTGTCCTTCCAAAAGGAAAAATCTATGGATTCAAAAGATGGAAGAAGAAGGGAAGGGAAAAAGATGCAGATTCTGTTGCTGAGTGGCTCTTTTCAAGTGTGTTGGCGTTGCGTTTTGAGAAGAAAGCGACGAAGTGTTAGTAGCGCGTTGAATGGGTTATAGCTCACACTGCAGAGAAAGAAACAATATTTCTGTTTCTGAGAAGACCCAAATCACACTTTTATAGGATCAATCAGCCGAAATCGGAAAAATATAGCACCATTTTATTATTTTCATTATAAAATCTTACAGGATATTTTCTTCCCATTCTTTAAAAAAAAAAAAAAAATTCACTTTACTCTCGTTTAATTTTGCCTCTTGAAAAAGTCTTCACTTGAAAAAAAAAATCTGAAATACTGTGATGACTGTCATGTGAGGCCAAGATACTCGCTTAGTAACAGTCAAATTATTTTGACTAATCAAAGGTATTTTTTTCTTTAATTTATATCTGACCATAATTTTTCCAATACAAAATTATTCCACGTACACTCAAAAAAATCAATAATTACATGATGATAATTTGATAAAGTTAATAACGAGAGAGTATTAACTTGCTAGCCACTAACAACCGTGGATTTACAACCTCTGCTATGTAGGTGTGTGGGTCAACAATTATTTTAGCAGTAAAAGGATTTTAATCCTTTTCATTTTTTTCTTTCTAAAAAATAATTTTATTATATTTAAAAAACAATTTTAGAAGAACATAACATGGAAGACAACCTAGAATTCGCCGCCATTTACAATTGAGTTCTACTACTGCTATGCTACATCTCTGAGTTCTTTCTGTTTCACTCTTACTACAATCGAGGTTGAATCTACACGCGTTAGATGCTATTGTGCAGCACACACTCTTTAGGGTCTCCAGTGAAAACTCCAAAACTTACAACAACATTAATGGATAATTAATGATAATAAATTTTGTTTTTAGCACAATTAAATTCTACATTTGTAAAGGAATGCCCAATTCATTATATATTAATTGTTTACTTCAGTAATATTTTAAAATTAATTAGCGCTTAAATTTTATTTCAGTTTTAATGTTATGCACAACAAGTTTTTCCAGGTATACCTTGGGTGATTTTTGTTCTCGCATAAAATCGTATACTATTTTTTTTTCACATTATAAATGTTAATTTATGAAAAAAAGTTTTGTTTTACAAATTACTGTTGTCACCATATATGAATTATTTATTAATTTATACTCATTTCAAATTTAATATATGATTTTAATTGTTAATATTAATTATTATGTTTTTATTTAAATCCCGTGAATATTGAAAAATTTCAGTTATAATTTCAAAGAGTATATTGAAAATTATAAAAATATTGACTGAGGAAGGTAATTCAACCACCTAATTCAATTCAAATTATTGTTTTATAGAATATTTAATTCAATCCAATCTAATTTCAGAATAATCTGAAAAGTTTTGTACATTGAACATGATATCTGATAATAATATTTATTATTGAATTTATTCCTTTATTTTATTAAGTATAAATATATATATATATATATATATATATAATTATTTAAATATAATATTTTAAAAATACTAGTGTACAAAAAATCTAAAAATATTTTAAAATTACAAAATTTTGAAAAAAAAAATACTTGAGTTAGTTTATTTTTTTTTTACTTTGTAATATCTTTCTTAAAAACTAAAGTAATAAATTTAATACTTAAAGAATAAATGTCTTTTTCTTAGAAATTTATATTTTTATTATATTCTAGTACATGAAAAATGAATTGTTTTTACTTAGAGTTGTTACTATCAGAGGAAAAGTAAGGTAAAGAAAAAAAAAGTCAACAGTAGAAATTGGGGTAAAAACAGGAAAAAAGATGTTGTTAGATTAATAGAAACATAAAAAAAAACATATACTTGATTACTGTATGAGTAAAAAAATAATGAAAAATAGTTTTATACTAATAAAAAAAAACATCTACTTACTCCACTATTTATTTTTTTGAACATGAAAGTACTTATATTTTAAATTTGCTTTGGTTAAAAAATATTTAACATTAATAAATGCAAAAAAAATAGAGAAGTAAAAGGAGAGTCTCCCATTTCAAAGGTTCAACGAAGGTAATTTTCTTGCTATTTTTCCTCCAAGTAATAGAAAAATTTAATAATATTATCTCTCATTTCTATTTGAATCTTCTTCGTAAGCTAGCTCTAGATTTATTTTATATTATGATTTTCTAGCTTTGAAAAATTGGAACATTTTTCTGTGCAAGTGGTATGTAGAAAACATGTATAAGGATGATATATTAATAAATTGATAGAAGTATTGTGTTATCTTTTGGTCATGTGCTCAATGATGGGTTGCATTTGTCTAGACATTAGTTAGCATTTAGTAGTTTGTAGAATTCAAGTGGTATGTATATGTATATGTATATGACTGCGTTGGTTTAACAGTTACAACCTAGTTCTTTGTATTCGTGTGAAGCTTCCAACAACTACGGAACTAACTTTGCAACGTTCATACAATTCAAATTACTAAAATCAACATTAATTTGCAAAGCTAAATATTCTACTTAGAAACATACAAAATTAACTTTTCCCAAAGATATTATGCTGCCCACAAAAGTAAAAGACAATAATAGTTTTTTGACTTTAATTTTGTCAAATTGGCTACCTACATTTGATTTATTTGTAATTTTATAAGATTTGGAATGTAGGTTTATGGGCCATGTCCGGCCCTAAGAATAAACCCAAAATACGTGAAAAAAAAGGCTAAAACAGGGTATAAAACAAAAGCCGACTTATCTCCTTCACAATCTCAGGTTTAAAATAAATAAAAAAAATATCGCAAAAGATTAATACAGAAAAAGGAGTCCAGCTAAGATTAACTTCGTTGGGTGTCACTCAATGATTGGTGGTTAGGCTTTCTTAATCGAAATTAGGCGAAAGTTTAAAGAATTAATAAATGAATGTTGGTTAGTTCTACTAAAAATGGACAAACTGCTTTTGCCGCTTTGGAAATAAAAGGCAGTTTTGGTTTTTGTGGCAACCCTTTCTGCCAACATGTTCAATTAGATGGTAGGGAAATTTTTAAATTAAATCAAATTTAAATTTATCATATGTATAATTTTTTTATATTAAATTAAAAAAAAAATGAAATGTGTGTATTTTTTGTACCTAACATAATAGATTAGATAGAGGAGTTATGGCATCAGTGTAGGTGTGGTGTGGTGAGGTGAGAAAGGATATATATATATATATATATATATATGTGTGTGTGTGTGTGTGTGTATGTATGTATGTATGCACGCCTGCAACTGAAAACTTTAAACAAAAACATGGAGCTAATTATGGGAGCCTTGTCTGTCACATGCTCATGTGTTTGCAACATTTTAATTTAATTTGTTTGGTTCTGAGTACAACGTGTGTGTTTGCCGCTTTTTGTGCACAAGTTCGTTTCATGTGACTCGTAATTAAAATCTCGTACTGTTTTCCTAAAATAGGTCAAGATATAATTAACAGCTCTTGTACTCAGTTTAAATTCACATATATCCAATTCAAATTGCTTTCACCTATAAATAATTAGTGTGATTAATGTTAATAACAGCATTATCTAATTACAATATGCAATAAACTTATTTTATCACCTGACATTATTTTAGCATATGTTTAAGTGACTTTAAATTGAGTTAAATGTAAATTAGATTTAGTTTTGAGTGAGTTACATCATTGCCCCTTGACCGGATAACAATGTGCACATGTCTTTTAATGAAGATTTTGACTGTCTTATTCATGGGCACTTAATTTTTAGGCTAATGTTTATTGTGGGATAATAATCCAATTTTATGATATGAATGTAACTAGAAAATTATTTACTTTTGTCTTATCAAGTGCAACAATTGAATTAGACGATTACATCTATGTAAAATAAGATACATAAAAAATTTTAATTTTCTAATAAAAGTATATAATTTGATGAGATGATATTCATATATAAACATGTATTGGTAAATTGGATTATACAAAACATCTCAAACATACACAAATAATATAAAAGTAACTATCTAAAGTTAAAACGCATACACAAATAATATATATATTAAATAGGTATTAATTCAATAACATTGGATAATTAATGTATGGATACATAAACATGAGTAAGATTGTTTTGTCAAATGATATATGCGTCATGTATAATTATACATGTAATCTAATCATATCATAAAACATTTCATGTATTAACTTATGTAAATATCATATTTAAGGTACATTCATTATAATATAGATGAAAATAATGAGTATTTGGACATTATTTGTATGCATAATGTAAAATATGCCCATAAAATAGTTAAATAATACAATTTACCTCAGAGAGAGATATTGTAAACTTTTCATGCAATATAATGCTTAGGTAATAATTATATTATGATATTTCTTAAAATAAATTTTAATGTTTATTTTTACTTAGCCAAAATATTCATCTCGTGATATGAAGTTTATCAAATTTATATATAATAATTTGCATAGAAAGTTTTCTTCCTAAAAGTTTCAAACACATATTTTATATGATTCACGTGCTCTTTTAAATTCAAGTTATAT